TCTGCATGCCCGTCAGAGGAACGTGAACATTTTCCTGAGGATAACTGGCATTGAGATTTTGAACTAGGAGTACTGCTTCTAAAATTATCTGGAAAATATAGGTTGAAATACAGCATGAGTGAGGTAGATAAGATTGCACTGGTTTGGGTGTTTGGGGGAGGTAGGGGCGCCATACCCAGCGATGCTTAGGGGTTACTCCTGGCTTTATACTCAGAAATCATTCCTGGTGGTGCTCAGGGGAACATGCATATGGGATGCTGGGGATCAAACCCGTGTTGGCTGTGTGCAAGGCGAATGCCCTACCTGCTATGCACTGTCACTCCAGCCCCAAATTTTTTTTTGGGGGGGGGGTCACACCTGGCGATGCTCAGGGGTTACTCCTGGCTCTGCACTCAGGAATTACTCCTGACTGTCCCAAGGGGACCCTATGGGATGCTGGGAATCGAACCCGGGTCAGCCGCGTGCAAGGCAAACACCCTACCCGCTGTGCTATCGCTCCAGCCCCCCCACTAATATTTCTTGAGTACCAAGTGTGTCTACTGTATTGGCCACCAGTGACTGGTGAATAAACAATTCATTATCTCTGCCCTCAAGGAGCTCACAGTTAAGAATCTGAGCTTTCCCAGATGATTTTAAACAAGCTGCTCTGTCACTACTGATGAAGTTGTAGGCTAAATTTTGCCACCCATGCCCATAGATCCTTATTAAATTACTAGTAAGCTTATATATTTGGAAAAAAGTTAGCCATGCCTTTTTGTGGGTTTTTTTCCCCCCTTTGGGCCACACCCAGCAGTGCTCAGGGCTTACTCCTGGCTCTGTGGTCAGGGCTCACCCCTGGCAGGCTTGGGAATCTGGGGTGCCGGGGATGAACCCAGGTTGGGTTCACATGCAAGACTAGTGCCCTACCTGCTGTGCTATTGCTCTGGCCCCAGCTATGCCTTATTTATATCAATAATGCTTTGGATTTTTGTATATTTCACACTTTTCAGTGTTATTTAAACAGTGAAAAAGTTATTTTTCATCATTTAAATGAAAACCACATATAAGTAGCTTAGCTAAGTACCTATTACCTAATTTCATAGATTGAAAGGAATGAAAGCATAGAGAACACTTAGTTTTAGAGTCCTAGTTGAAGATCCAGAGAGAATTTGGAGGCAAGTGTATGCTTTGCTGGAGGCCCGGTACGGTCCCTGGTACCACATGGCTCGAAATACCACCAGAAGTGACCTCAGGCACCGCTGGAATGAATGACACAAATTCCCTGCCCTACTTCCTGCCCCCAAATCATAGAATTCTAGTTGCCCAACTTCTAACCAGACATCTCTTCTAGATAAAGAATTATGGTAAATATTGAGGAAAAATAAAGACAATGATGATGTTATGTAGCAATAGCTAGAATAATTTTTTTTCTGCATAGTTAGTTTTTCTACTTAAGGGAAAGAAAAAAACTGGGCCCAAGTCATAGTACAGCGGGTAGGGTGCTTGCCTTGCACACAGCAGACCCAGGTTTGATCTCCGGCATCCACAATGTCATCCGAGCATTGCTGGTAATAATTTGAGTGCAGAGCCACAAGTAACCCAAGCATCACCAGGTGTGGCCCCAAAACCAAAACTGTAGACGACATTGAAAAATGTGAGACTCCGGGTCAGATCCTCAATACCAAGAATTGAGGGGGTGTCTAACGAGACATATTTGACTCAGCTTGGTTATAGCCTAGCTGTGAAGTAATATACTAGTCATGTAGTTTCTCATTTGTACATTTTGTGAAAAGCTCTCAGGAGGTGGTGAGCACAGCTTAAGTACTGTATAGGTTATTAGTTTGGCTAATGACCGAGGGTTTGGCTAATGACTGAGGGTTAGGCCATTTTCATATCTGCACTGTTTGAATTTGTTTTCCCCTTCTTTCTATTCCTATCTACAATTCTATAGCATTATATTATGTTTATTATTTTGGGAGGAGGGGTAACACCTGGCAGTGCTCTGGCTGGGCTGGAGGGCAAGGTGGGTGCCAGGGATCTAACCTCGGTAAGCCATGTGCAAGGCCAGCGCCCTACCCACGATCTCTCCTGCCCTGTATTTTGTTGTTTCATACACACAAAAAATGTAGGATTCCCATTTAAACAATTTAGCTTGAGTCCCTCACTTTCCCTGAGTACTTCTATTTGGTTTTGGGCCACACCCAGCGATGCTCGGATGTTACTCCTGGCACTGCACTCAAGATCACTCCTGACAGTGCTCAGGGGACCATAGTGGGATGCCAGGGATCGAACTTCCGAGTGACTTCAGAAAAATTCCCTACTCTTGGCCATAGTATCATTCTTCTTTCGTGTGTCCTCTAGGGAGCACAGAGCTGACGGGCAGCACCAATCTGATCACACACTACAACCTGGAGCATTCCTATAACAAATTCTGTGGCAAGAAGGTGAAAGAGAAGCTAAGTAACTTCCTGCCTGACCTGCCAGGGATGATTGATCTGCCTGGTTCCCATGATAACAGCAGCCTCCGCTCCCTCATCGAGAAGCCTCCTATTCTGGGCGGCTCTTTCAACCCTATCACGGGGACCATGCTGGCTGGCTTCCGCCTCCACACTGGTCCGGTGAGTCCCGCTTGGAGAGGGAGAGGGCGGATGGGTAGCCCAGAAAGGCACAGAGGTGGTTTTGCGCTATTCAGGTCTGTTCCTAAGTCATGGAGCAGAACAGAGGGTGGGAATGGGGGGGATTCCTTCCCCCCTACTCATGTGGACCTTCCTTTGTTCCTCCAGTTGCCAGAGCAGTGCCGTCTGATGCATATTCAACCTCCCAAGAAGAAGAACAAGCACAAGCACAACAAACAGAGCCGTACACAGGATCCTGTCCCCCCAGGTAAGAAATGGCTTATTGGGGCTGGGGCGATAGTACAGCAGGTAGGGCATTTGCCTTACATGTGGCTGATCCTGATTCAATTCCCAGCATCCCTTATGGTCCTTTGAGCATTGCCAGGAGTAATTCCTGAGTGCATGAGCCGGGAGTGAACCCTGTGTATCGCCTGGTGCGACCCAAAAAGCAAAAAAAAGGAAATGGCTTATTCAGAAGCTGGTGTTTTTCTTTTGGGCCACTCGTGGCGCTGCTCTGAGCTTACTCCGGACTGCCCTCAAGGATCACTCGTGGCCAGGCTCAGGAAATCATGGGGTGTCAGTGATTAGATCTGGGCAGGTCACATGCAAGGCAAGCACCCTACCCACTTCCTGTTACAGTCTGAAGTCTCTTACAGGGCTTAGACTCCCAGACTCTCCTGAAAAAAAGCTGATATACTGGGATCTTCTTGGCAGATATGGACTTGAGGCAGAGATGGAGCAACCCCTCTGTATTCTATTTGAAGGAAAAATATTGCCCTTCTCTAGGGGTTTTCCTATAATCTGAATTCCTTGCTGTAGGGTTGAGTTGGTTCTTTGTTGTGGTTTGTTTTTTTTTGTTTTTTTGTTTGGGGGCCATACCTGGCTTTGCTCAAGGGTCACTTCTGACAGGGCTCGAACTAAGGTCGTCAGGGTGCAAGGCAAGCACCCTGCCTACTGCACGGCCTCTAGCTTTGGGTGCTTTTGAGATCTGGCGGTGATGATAAACACTCTGTATCGCCTACAGAAACACCGTCTGATTCAGATCACAAGAAGAAGAAAAAGAAAAAAGAGGAGGATCCTGAAAGGAAAAGGAAGAAGAAAGAGAAGAAGAAAAAGAAGGTAGAGGCTATAATGTTTGCCGTGTTCCGCCTGTTCTGAAGGCTGCTCATTTCCCCTGGAGACCTGGTCAAGGCCAGGGCTGCTGCCTGGTTCTTTTCTCACCCTCCTCCTCCTCTGTCTCCCCAGAATCGACACAGTCCGGATCACCCAGGCATGGGCAGCTCGCAAGCCAGCAGTAGCAGCAGCCTCCGCTAACAGGATCCCTGGGCTGCCCGGGACTGGCCCCGCTGTACTGAACCTGCTGACAAAAACTGCTCTCCAGGCTCTGGGCCACCATGCTGCGAGTATCGCCGTAGTGGGACAGTTAGGATCAACGTGTCACAGAAGGGCTGCGCTTGCCTAGCCCAGCCCACTTCCTCATGGACCTCCTTCCTCTCCCAGGAAGCTTTCTAGTGATCTTTTGTGTGCAATTTGTCTGATTTTTTTGCATTTATCAAACTGACTGAAGTGTTACTGCCTGTTAAGAGGTAAGTGCCTTTCTGAGTTAGGGTTTAAGCCAAGGCATGCTAAGATCTGAAGGGATTTGGGTCATCTTTATGTCATCTCATTAGTGGGTGAAAAAACCCTACTAAAAGTAGGTCTAAAACGCAGGGCCTGCTAATTAACCTGTCTACCAAGAATACATCACATTGACTGTGATAATGAAAACCAAGCACCTGGATGGTTTTTCAGGCACCGCGTGAAGAACTGATCCAGCCAGAGCTTGGTTGTGTTTTTAGGTTACTGAAGGTGTTGAAACAGAAGTACCTACAATCACCTTATTTCAACAAGGTTGCTACTTGGTCAAGCCTGTGATTCTTTTTTTAAATAAACCTCTGGCAAGTAAAGGTAAATGCTTCTCGTTTCTCTTTAAGAAATTTTGACTTTTCTAGCTTCTAAATTCTGTAAGACAGTACAGCCATATGGCTGATATGAAAACATCTCTAAACTTGTCAGCAATTAAAAAAAAAAAGTCTGGGAACCAAAGAGAAGTACTTGATTGCATGTGGCCCACACTGGCTTGATCTCTGGCATCCCATATGGTACCCATAGCACTACCAGGTGTGATTCCTGAGTACAGAGCCAGGAGTAAGCCCTGAGCACCTCTAGGTATAGGCCCCCTCGCGCACCCGCCCCCAAAAAAAAGCCTGAACTTGCAAAATATAAAATACACCCCTCAATCTTTATAGCGGGCCAAATAACAAAACATCCATGAGAAATCCAATGTAGTGACTTTATGCTAAATTTGACACAACATTTAAAAATTGTTGCTATGAAATCAGACAGTAAACCACTCATTTAGCTCACTTTAATCCATGATTTCAGAGCAAGATTTTAATATATTTAGGTTCTAGACAGTGAACATAAAGGATTCCAGCCAGTTTCTTGGGATTTAATGTCTGTTGATGCCCACTTAATCCCAGGGCACAGGCGGAACATCACTCATGTAGCATATGCCTTGCATATAAGCGGCCTGAGTTCAATCCCCAGCACCACCAAAAGGGGAAAGAAGAGGGGGAAAAAAAGACATGGCCCTTACTTTCACAAACCAAACTATCATCCATATATCCAATCAGCCTTTAATAGGCTTTCATACTTTGATCACCCACTGTGTCTCATCTTTGGCTACAACCAAAATTACTTTTCAGAGACAAAGTAAGGAACAACTATGGCACAGGCAAGATTTCCCTAAGCTTTGAAATGATAAGAAGCTTTGATGGCGGCAAAAAGATTTCAAGGAGTTTTAAATTAAAACACGTAAGTAAAAAGAGAATCTGGAAAATCGTTGTCATTAATGTACCTGTCCAAAAATGGACCAGCACGAGAGCAGCTTAGGAGTTTTCTTTATAACTTCCCACCAGACGTCATTCACCCTGCCTTAACCAGACAAAATAAACAAGTCGGGGGGGCTGGTTTAGATCAGGATTTCTTTTTATTCCTTCTTGGTTTAAAATGGCTAATCAGAGTAAAAAATAAAAGGGCCTCTGTCTAGAGGCTGGGGTCTCCCCTATCTAGAGGTTAGAACCCAGGTAGCCCCTCCACCCAGCACCATTCTGAGGTGGGCTGAGGGGTCACCCCCAAGGGACAATCGGAGGGCCTAGGCCTGCCACTCCTTCTCACTATCCCCAGTTTTTGGCATGTGATGAAAAATATTGCTTTTTGGACTCTTCATTCCTGGCCTTGGATTTGTTAACTGTGTGAGCTGGGGGAAGGCCGAGAGGCTAGTTAAACAGCCCACCGTAATCCCTCCCCCACAAAGGTGGGGACTACCCAGAACTGTTTCCGGAGCTGGGCCAAGCTCTTCCTGATCTCCCCACACCACGGCGGGGCTCTGACTCCTCTCCTGGGGAAACTAAGTGCCAATGCGCCTAGAAAACTACTTCTCCTCTCCAAGTCCTTCCCTCCTGACCAAGATGACCCCAGACTCGCCTCTCCCCAGGTTTCTGTTATCACTTAGCACCAACAGAGAGGGTGCTATTTCCTTAGTAGGTAGCTGGGACAAAAGAGGGACCCATGGGGCAAAGAAAGACTTTAGTGTCTTCCCTCTTTTCCTGCTCGTCTGAGGAATAGGAAGAGTAAAAGTTCCCCTTCCTTATACATATCCCTCCCTCATTTTCCCATCCCAGGATAGATATATAATTTCTTTGATATTTATAATATATATATATGTATATATATATATGTACACACACACCTGGTAACGCAGAAGAGGAAAAAAATAGAATCCGTAACAATAATAAAAAAAATTATTTCTGGTTTAAAAATGATCTGGTTCCCTCCAGGGCGAGCAATTGCACAAATGTCCACTGAGTCTGGTCCAGGGGTTAAGGGAAGGAAGGTCTTAAAAGGTGAAGGGGGTTGCTACCCCAGTCTCAGGGCCCCAACTCTCCGACGGCTCCCCGACCCCACTGCATTTTATAAAACGCTCCTCATCCTCTCGGAATCGGTGGTTTAAACAATGTCCGTGCAGGGGAGGGGAACCCCTTGAGGAAAGAAAGGTGGCCACCTGGGGCCCTTTGGTGTAGGTGCAGAGGTGAGGGGGAGGGAGGTGCCGAAGGCTCACACGGAAATCTCATAGGTGGTGCCACCCACCCCCGACACCTTCTTGACTCCTCCCCTCGTGGGGCTGCTGAGCGGTGGCTGGCCGGGGCCAGGAGAGGCTGAGCCTATACTCTTGGGCTGCCCGTTGGATTTGCTGTAGGCGGTCTTGAGCTGTACTTCATCTCTGGAGGGGAGGAAAGAAAGAGGTGTCACAAGTAGTACACAAAACACACACAAAAAAAGAAAGTCAGTTGAAAATGCATGTTTTGGGGGCCAAGGCAGTTGTACAGCTGGTAGGGCGCTGCCTGGCACACCACCCACCGGGGTTTGATTCCCAGCACCCACATGGTCCCTCAAACCCCTCCAGGAGTCAGCCCTGAATTCAGAGGCAGGACAAGGCTCTGAGCACCTTGGGTGTAACCTCAAAACCAAAAAAAAAAAAAAAAACCAAGCACCCACAAAATAGATGTTTTGGGGGTCTGGAAGATGGTTTAGTGGCTTAAAGGACATGCTTGGCCAAGTTCAAGGTCACACAGTACACAGCTCAAACTGCTATTACTGGGATACTCCAGTGGCTTAGGAAGGACCCAAGGCAAGCCTGGGGTTACAAGATTAGTCCCCCAGAGCCATAGAAGAGCCAAGGTGATCCTGACTACACCCAGGCCTTCGGTCTGAAGTTTTTCTACATGTGTATTTCTCATCCAAACATGCTCTTTTATGAACTTGTTTTAATAAAATCTGATCCCTCTGCTATAGTAACAAATAATTACTTTTAGGAAGACAAGCCAAGAAAAAAAAGCATCGGGGCTGGAGCGATAGTACAGCGGGTAGGACATTTGCCTTGCAAGCAGCCAACCCGGGTTTGATTCCCAGCATCCCATATGGTCCCCTGAGCACTGCCAGGAGTAATTCCTGAGTGCAGAGCGAGGAATAACCCCTATGCGCTGCCAGATGTGACCCAAAATGCAAAAAAAAAAGCATTAATAGTCTGTTGATGGGGTGGCCCAGATGAAAAGAGCCAATATGCCAATGTTGAGTGAAAATGAACTACCCGAAGGCAGAACATCCCTGGGTCCACTTGCACGCAAATGTAAATGCAAAATGCAAATTTTAAAGAGAAACTAATACTTACTTGGGCGTCAATAATGGCTGCAAGGCCACTTCCTCCATCTCGGACACGCCAGGTGGGGCTTTTTGGCTGCTATAAGACATAGATCGACCCAGATATGGGGCAGATGGGCCTGGTTCAGGGGACCCTAGTCCCCGGCCCCTTAAACCGTCTGGCTTGCCAAACCGGGGCGCAGCTGGGCGTCCCAGTGGAGTCTTGCCCAAAGGCGATCTCTTCGAATCATCTGAGGAGGAACTAGTGCGATGGGCATGGCCTGAGCCCGGCGTGGACTGAATGCCTGAGTCCCCCAAGCCTGGTTCTTCCTCGCGGCCTGGGAGTGGGGGAGATTGGCGGAGCAGCTTCTCTCGTTCCTGGAGGGAGGCCACGATATGGCGCGACAGATTGTCGTACCGAACAGGGGAGGGCTCTCGCTGTGCTGGGCCGGTCGGCACCAAACGTGGGTGCCTCTCGGCTTCCCGCTGCTGGGCCAGCCGGGCTGACAGGAAGGGAGACGTGTAGCCTAAAGGCGGCTCTGGCTCAGGCCCTGCTTGCACGGACTCAAAATCAGGGCTGTCGGAAGGAGTGAGCAGGCTGTCGTATGAGAGACTGCCATTGCGGGTCTGGTTGGCCAGGCTCTTGTAGGAGGTGGACGTCGTGCCCTCTGAACGGATCGACTGCAACTGGCCCAATTCAAAGCCTGTGCCCTGGGCCGACTTGAGGCTGGAGGAGCGTGAGCCACTGGACAAAGGATCGAAGTGAAAACTCTTGCCAAACGTGGGAGAACGGAAGCTCTCGGGCTCCAAGCTGGGCTCTGAGCGATAGCTGGGGTGGCGGCTGCTCTCGGCGATAGAAGTTGGCTCCTTCAAGCTGTCTCCACGACTCAACTAAGGGAGGAAGTGAAACAGTTCTTAATGCTCCCCCTCTTGTCAAGAGCTCAAAGCCCAGAGCCCAAGGAATCACTAAAAAGTAGTTAGCCGTATCAATACGCTTAAAATTACATGGTATTTGTTTTGTTTTGGTTTTGCCATGTGGACCAGTGCTCAAGACTTATTCCAACACTCAGAAATTACTCCTGCTGGGCCTCAGGAGAACATAAATGTGCTGTGATCAAACCCAGGTCAGTCGCAAATGTCCGACCTGCTGCAGTACCTCTTGAACACCCACACACAATACATCTTTAAGCCATTATGCAAGCTTATGAGTTGGAATAAACAATAATATATCATTATAAGATACATAAATTAAGGGCCTTGTTATAGCTTAGTGGTACGGCGACTGCCTTCAACGAGTCCTTGAACTGAACCCTGACCCCAGGCACCACCCAATCCACATGCTGAGTGAAATCCTGGACACACACCATTTGCAATCCCCAGTGCCACAATAAACGAACCAAGGAGAGAGAAGAGAAAAGGTATACAAAATCAAATTTCTCATGGTATCAGCGGTGGGCTTTGAATTCAGATAAGACATCAAAAGCTAACAACTAGTAGAGCCTGAGTGACCTTACAGTGGGTAGGGCATTTGCCTTGCACACAGACAGCCTGGGTTCAATCCCCAATACCCCATATGGTTTCCCAACCACCACTTAAGTGCAGAGCCAGGAGTAAGCCCTGTACACAGCTGGATGTGGCCTAAAAACAAAACCAAATCAAAAAATAAGGCCCACAAACCTCTTTAAAAAAAAAGTGATTCATGTTTGTTTGTTTTGCTTTTTGGGTCACACCCGCGATGCACAGGGGCTACTCCTGGCTCTGCACTCAGGAATTAACTCCTGGCAGTGCTCAGGGGGCCATATGGGATGCTGGGAATCGAACCTGGGTCGACTGTCTGCAAGGCAAACGCCCTACCCGCTGTGCTGTCACTCCAGCCCCTTGTTTTTGTTTTTTAAACAATTAGTAAAAATTGCCTTTGGTTTTCCTCTCATCCCTCTGTCATTCCTTCCTTTCTCCCAACCTTCTTTTCCCAAAAATAGATGTCACAGACTACAGCCCTACTTAAGACACTCAGTACCTTGGCGCTGGAAGAATGAGGCATGGCAGCTGATGCACTGCTGCTACTGTAGGCTGGCCGATACTTGTACATGGTAGGTGTCGGGGGGCTATCCTTGCTCAAGAGGCTGCTCTCTGTGGGGGGAAAAATAGAGACGTCGCTTTACAAATTGTTCTAATCTAACCAGAGTTCAAAAAACAGAGGGAAGAACAAGATAGGAAAAAATCTACCAAGGAAAAGAAAGGAATGATTTTTCTGAAATCAAGACTTAAGACTAAGACCAGTCTGGAATTCAAAGAGAACAATTGCACCAAACAAGTTCTAGGATAGCCTCGGATCTGTTAAAAGCTTAGAGTTCCTCCCACAAACATCCAATTTACTGCCAATAGCTCAATGGCACCCCTTTTCTCCTGGCTGTCCGAAGAAATGGCGCAGGACCCACCTGTTGAGTATTCTTAGTGACAAAAAAAGTGGTACGTTCCAGGCCCTACACTAGCTTTCCTAAGCTCACGAATAACCACCCATTCTTACAGCTGCCCTTACCCTCAGCAGCCAGGCCCAGGTGTGTCCGTAAGCCCGTGTACCGGCTCAGGTCCGGCTTAGGAGGAGGTGGTGGCTCTGCATCTGCAGACTGGCTCTCGGTTATCTCCAAGCTTCCCTTGGACTGGATGAAGAAGAAAACTAGGCATTACAAAAACTTCAAGTATTAAACTGATATATGTGGGTAGCACTGTAGCACTGTCCTCCTGTTGTTCATCAATTTGCTCGAGCGGGCCCAGTAACGTCTCCGATGTGAGACTTGTTGTTACTGTGTTTGGCATATCAAATACGCCATGGGGAGCTTGCCAGGCTTTGCTGTGCAGGCGATATACTCTCGGTAGCTTGCCAGGCTCTCCAAGAGGGGCAGAGGAATCGAACCCGGGTCGGCCACATGCAAGGCAAATGCCTTATCTGCTATGCTATCACTCCAGCCTAGCATATGAGGGTATTGGAGTCAATTACTTCCAAGTTAGGACTCAAAGATGAAGAGTGTTTACAGATAGAATGGGACAAAGACAATCAACGAGGGCTTTAATTTGGTCAGTAACTTGTCCTTTATCATCACCAACTACTTGTTGAGCTCCTACCGTCTGAGAGCTTCTATATAAGTCCTATGAAGGCATGAAAATAATAAGGTATGCATTTAATTTTTGTTTTGTTTTAGGGGCTACACCCAGCACTGCTCGGGGGTTACTCCTGGCTCTGCATTCAGGAATTACTCCTGGCAGGGGACTGTAAGAGATGCCAGGCATCTAACCTCAGTCGGCCTTGTGCAAGACAAGCACTATACTCTCTAGCCCCTGTATTTTAATAAAAATAAGATGATAAATACTGAATAGAGATATAAATCAAAAGCAAGTTTCATTCTTTGTTTGGCGTGAGAACCCCCAGGTTACCTAATTTTAACTCCCTAAATTCCTCACCTTGGTTCTCCTCAGCTCTCCCTGGATTCCATTGTCCATGATCTTCACAGTTATCTGTCCATCTGTCACTTCTGGTCGAAGGAAGGGAGGTCTGATTACAATTGTCTTCTCTTTCTTTAGTCTCCCCAAATATCTGAATGTTAAGAATAAGAGTACTTTCATTCACTTGTTGTAAAATGTGTCAATCATTTTTATACAAACAGTAACAATCCTACCAAGTCCATGAAAAGATCGATACTAAATTGATTTACGTGATTCTACAAAAAAAACCGCAGCACTACATTCTCTGAAGTAAAATATACTCAACTTTTCTTCTTTTGGTTGTTACTGTGTTTTGGAGCCACACCTGGTCATGCTCATGGAGACTGGAGGGTGAGCTGGACGGGACAGTGGGATGCCAGCGCTTGAACTTGCAATGCAAGTGCCCTGCCTACTGTAATCTCTTCAGCCCATGTACTCAACTTGCAACCCTCAAACCTGAGGATTATCAGCTGAACTCAGGACCCACTGAAAAATGTCACGTGTTTATGAAGAGAACTCTCATTATGAAGAGAACTCTCCCTAAAAAGCAATCTCCAACCCGACCTCCCGTCTACCCACACAACCCTGCAGACAAATGTTCGATGGAGAATGAACCTTAGACCAAAGGGGAAATGATATACCTGGGTGCTGGGGAGCTGCAGAGCACACGGCTGACATTGTTACAGCAGCCATTGGTGAAGGGATTCACACCTCCCCGGAATTTACCCGTAACCTAGAGGGAGGAAAGAAGCGCCGTATTAATCAGATGATGGGACTTAGACTTCCAAAGACCAAACACTTAAATCCTACCCTCAAGTTTATTCTTGTGATGGTTAATCACAGAAACTAAGTCAGAGTCCTCAGTTCAAATCCTACATCTAGCTCACAGCAGCTATCTGACCTTCAATATCAATTCCCTCAGGTAAAAGGGGGATAAAATGTTCTAAGAATACTGTGATCTAAGGTAGTTAATAAATATGCAAGCAGTTAATATATATGCATGTAAACAGGTCACCTATTACTCTGTGTACAAAAGTAACTTTTTTTTTTTTTTTTGCTTTTTGGGTCACACCTGATGATGCTCAGGGGTTACTCCTGGCTCTGCACTCTGGAATTACTCCTGGCGGTGCTCGGGGGACCATATAAGATGCCGGGAATTGAATCGAGATCGGCCACATGCAAGGCAAAGGCCCTACCCGCTGTGCTATCGTTCTGGCCCCCAAAAGTAACTTTTAAGTAGCACTGTAAACTTCTTGAGGGCTAGCCTGTTTCTATAGGCACAGAGCCGAAACTGGGCATTCCGGACATAGGAAGTCATTCTGGAAGTGTTTTAACTAAGAACTCTGTTCTAATGCTTAAAGGAGAAACATGGCTACCTCATCACGAAAGTATTCATTAAGTACCTCTCTCCAGTTCCATACTAATCAGAGAATTAAGGGGTGACCGTCACTCCTCCCCATACCTGTTCATTGGTTGTGCGCCCCCTAGCCACCAGCACCACATGAAATCCTGTGAGGCCAGCTACAGGGATGAAGAATAAGCCAGCCACACACATCACTGCCATTCTGAAGCCAGACAGTCAAGGAGAACAGAGGGATGCTGCAGGCCCCTTCCCCATTGGCCCGCACTACCTCAGGACTCAATTCTGCGTTCTCCCTACCACCCCACTCCCATAATCCACAACACTTGAAGGATACGTGACAGCTGTGCGCACCCCTGAGAGTTCCTCCATGTGGTAGAGGACATAAAGGAGGCCGAAGCCAAACACACCCATAATGTGCGCTGTCAGGGAAAGGAGAAAGAGGAAGAAATAACGGTAGTTCCGGCGACCAATACAGTTGTTCACCCAGGGGCAGTGATGATCAAATTCCTAAGGGCAAAAAGAGAAAGACATCTTTGGACCACAGCATTAGACTATTTCTGTCAAGAAGAGGAGCAAATGACCAAACTTATTTACTTGTGATCAAGTTCACCACGTAAGTCACAAAACTGAAAACCAACTCATGGAGCACATCACGCTCTATGACTTAGTAAGGAAACTCTCCAAAGGTTAACTGAAAACCAAGGGCATCTCTTAAAAAGTTTATCTCTAAGTATAGTGGCCAAGGAACTCTAAAAGAGACAATGTTAAAGGCTGTGCAAAAACATCAAGATTCACAGAGGCATAGGGAAGGAAAATCCAGAAGATAACGATACAGATAAATAACAATTGAAGGGTTAACTGTTTTAAAATAAGGGATGCAGAAGAAGGACAAGCAAAAGAAGAAATACAGTTGTTAAACTTGAATTTTACAGCATGATGCAGTGGTAGCTAGAGAACACAAAGCAAGCACAAAAACAATAAAAAGATGAGCCAAGGAATGAAGGCTGAAGCTAGGAATCTTAGTGTCTGAAAAGCCTCTGACCACTTTGGGGTTCCTCTTATACAACCAAGTTAGCGTGTATAGTGCTAACGCTTTTTTTTTATGGACCTAGGACATACATCCCAGATAGTTAGCCATATAGTTAGCCAGGACTGAATTTCAACCAACATCAAAAATGCAAGCTTTAAAACTTCAAGTTTTACTGTATGAACAGAGAAAAGGTAACGGGTTAAATCAAGACTGAACCCACTCACAGGCTCTTACCTCGACACAATTGTCACAGACACTGCAGTGAGAACACCGCGGAGGACGGTAGAAGCGGCAGGTGGCACACCATTTCATGCGCACCTGGATCCCCTTGATCTCCACTGTTTTGTAAAGGGGAGCTCGGAAGTCATCTTCTTTATCTTCATCCTCCTCAGCTTGAGAGAGAGAAACAAAATCAATTAAGAAATGACTATGTCAGGGGCTGGAGGAATAGTACAACGGGTAGGGCGTTTGCCTTACACGTGGCCAACCTGGGTTCAATTCCCAGCATTCCATATAGTCCCCTGAGCATCACCAGGTGCAGAGCAAGTCCCCTGAGCATCACCAGGTGTGACCGAAAAAGCAAAAAAAAAGAAATGACTATGTCAAGGAGCTGGAGAGATAGTACGGGGGGATGGGGGGTAGCACTTGCCTTGCATAAGGTTGACCTGGGTTCGACCCTGATGATGCCAGAACTATGCTAGGCACATGAGATGCAACTAGACTCCAACAGGGCATGTGAGAACAGAGCTGCAGCTGAGGGGAAGTTTCCCTGGCATATGGAAGGTCCTAAATTTGATAACTAGCACCACAAAAAAAAAAAAGGCAATACAGCCTCTGGCTTCAAGAATGCCAATCTGTCTCACAGATGAGGCTACTAACCAGGAACTCAAACTTGCCAGCTCCCATACAACAGTATGGGGATGATGAGGAAGTCATTTATTCATCAGGAAGAAATGAAGTCCAAAGAATCGAATTCAGGGCGCCCCAGAATCTAGCTCAGTGGTGGAAAGCATACAAAATCCTGGGTTTGATCGCCAGCACACAAAGCAAGCCTGACCCAGAGGTGGCTCTGATAAGGAGATGCTGACATTACTGACTTTATCACGAATTATGCTTTTTTAAAAAATTCTAATTTAGGGCTAGGAAGCTAAATAGGCTGAGCATCTGCTTTGCATGCATGAGGCCCAGGTTCGATCTCCAGCATCACATGGTTCTCCAAGCACCACCAGAAGCAACCCCAGAGCAGAGAGCCAGAGCTGCCAAGCACTGCCAGGTTAGAACCAAAAACAAAACAGAAGATAATTTAAAATATCAAAGTGCAACATATGAATTGGTGTGACTTTGACATCTAGAAGTATCTAAGTGAACTACAGTGATCCAGTATTATTTCTTGCACAAAACTCTTGCCAAAAGATTGTGTGTGTGTGTGTTTGTGTGTGTATGTGTGTGTGTCTGTCAACCCCCTCACAACCATCACTCTTATCAATTCACTCCACGCATGTCAGAATTGTCTTTTGGCTCAAGACATCTTCTGTCTCTTTACCTGTGTGTCCTTTCAACTCGCAGCTAAGAGAATTATTGGAGCACTGGGGTGTGTGCATAAGAAGCACTGCACTGCAGCACTGTCCTCCCGTTGTTCATCAATTTGCTCGAGCGGGCCCAGTAACGTCTCCATTGTGAGACTTGCTGTTACTGTGTTTGGCATATCAAACACGTCACCAGCAGCTTGCCAGGCTTTGCCGTGCGGGCAAAATACTCTCGGTAGCTCGCCGGGCTCTCCAAGAGGCGCAGAGGAATCGAACCCGGCTCAGCTGGGCCAGCAAGGCTTGCAAGGCAAATGCCCTACTGCTGTGCTATCGCTACAGCCATAGGAAACATAGCTTAATTCCCCAGCACTGTGCCAGGAATAGCCTCCAAGTTCTGCCCCACAGTGCCCAAGAACAAAAATAAAACTTACTGGATTTAACTTTTTTCTTTTCATTTTATGCTGCGCCAGGAAAATGAACCCAGGACCTCACATATACAAGGCAAGCACTCTATGGCAGAGCCAAAGCCCCAGCCCCTGTGGAAATCTAGCTGCTGCTCAAGTCAACTATCAGGCACATATGCTACCCGACTCCATGTCCTGCTTGCGCCCACATCTCCCCTCTTGAGATGTGTACTTTCATGCTTTCCTGTCTAATGCTGGGATGTGTGCAGGAGTTCCTTCTGCCCTTGGAGAAGCCTGCGTTCTCTCTTGAGCATGTTACTCTCTCTCACTTTCTCTCCCTCCTCCTCCTTCCTAAAAACCTCCAAATAAAATCTGTTTTTACTTCAGGAAAAAAGTCAACTATCAGATTCCTGATAGCTTTTCCTTATTTACCATTTGTCTACTTTCTCCTATCACCGACCTGTCTTATCCAGTCCCACTTCAATGGCACCTCCTCCTTTGCTCACCATTAAAATGTCAAATGTAGTTGGGTCTTATCTTGGTTCTTTTGTAATCTTGGATTACAAAAAAAAAAAATCTTAATGCCCATGCTTCAAATGTCACAGAGCCGCAGACTCTGAAGTCATGGCCTGTGGGTCTGAGCACTCCACTAAGTGGGTAACTCGACTGGATGACTCCATATTAGAAATGCTGGGACTACTACAGACCCTCCCACTCTCTCCCAATAAGCAACTGTTATAAATTTTTTTACTCCAAACACTTCAAAACAATCCCTAACTCCAGCCTTAAAATCTAGTGCTTAATTGGTCTGCATCACTGCAATAGCCTCACAAGCTATCTGGTACTTCCCAAAAGAATCTTGTTTGTTTTGGAGTCCTACCTCAGGGTGCTCAAGGCTTACTCCTGGTGCTGTGCTCAGTGGACTAAATTGTGATGCTGTGAAATAAATCAGTGCCAGCCACATGCAAGGCAAGCACCGTAACCACAATACTAACTCTTCAACCCAAGTATTATTTTTGTTTCTGGGCCACAACTAGTGGGCTCAGGGCTTGCTCCTGGCTAAGTGTTCAAGGATCATTCCCGGTGATTCTTGGGGAATGTGGTTCAGGGATTAGTGTAAGACAGTGCCTTACCTGCCTTTCAGTCTCTCTGGATGAAATCATTATAAGCAGAAATTTGAAGGAGCGGAGAGAGTTGAGCAGGTTAGGCACTTGCCTTGCATGCTGCAGACACAAATCCAAACCCTAGCACCCCATATACCCACCCCCAGAAGTACCAGGGTGACCCCTTAGCACAGATCCAGGACCAGTCTATGAGCACCGCTGGGTATAGCCCCAAACAAAAAACAAAATCCAATTCCATTATTCTTCTAATTAAAGAGATTCTTTCCAGGTCCAGAGGGAGAATACACCCTACTTAATTTAGCACATGAAGCATCTATTACAGTTTAGCTCTGAGTTAATCTCCTACCCCTCCTAGCCCCAAAATGTATTCTAAGTCCAACCAACAGAGACTTTTCATGGCTTCAAGCTTTTGAACGTGCTGCGTCCTCTGCCTAGAATGATGTCCTTTTCTTCCACTATGTGCTTTTCTTACCTACTTACCCAATATTAACCCAATTTATCTGCACAAATATTCTACATTGTCATAGAACTTTATTCATGCCTCCATTAGTTTGTATCCACTATTTTAACTAATTTATCTTAGATACTATTTTATACAGCAACGACATGCAATTCATATGCTCAAATTTCTGCCAAATAAGTAACCAAAAACTAAAGAATTATTCCAAAGTGCCTCAAAGTTTTGACAGATATTGCTTAAGACCCTAACATACTTTTCATTATAGAAGTATTCCAAGGGACTGGAAATGTGGCTCAGGGGTAGAACATATGACTTGCATGTACGAGGCCCTAGATTCAATCCCCTGTACCACTAACATTTTTTAAAAGTATCCCCAAACTCTAGAACTCCTAAGATCCTGGACAAAATGTGCATGTCTGCAAATCACTTTTGTCTGCAGTGCTGGGATGACCGAACACGGTGCCTCCTATATGCAAGGCCAGTGCACTATTTCTGAACTATATCCCCGTCCTCAACAATTTCTCAAAGGCAGTAAGGAGCTTCCAAGGGGCAATCTTACCTCGAGGGAAAATCCCTGGATCCATGAAGGTGGCCATGCTGAAGTTGGCCAGCACAAAGAGAAAAACAATCGCATTGTAGATGGGCACTGCAGGTGACACATAGAGGCTTAGTCCTGGGCAGCTGCACAGATAAATAAGAACAATGAGAAGCCGCCTCCTACACTTTGAACACCAACCATATAGAAATCTGTAAATATTCATATAAAATTCTAGTGTGGTTCACCTTTACTGTCAAGTTAATTTTGCCCTTTCTTACAAGTGGGTCTACTTTCCCATGAAAAATGATTTTAGATTAAAGTGTACCACTCACTCTCCTCACTCTCTACCATAACCCCTTACAGGAAGGGGTGAGGTTCCTTCCCCGTGGCTCTTGCCACTTGCTTTCAAGTCTAACTCCTCTCTCCTTTTAAACCAGGTGTAAGAGCAATGTCTGAGAATGTAAGTGAAACCGATAACACTTCCTTTGGTGAACAGCCTGAGATTTCTGGTTTCCATTTATGCCCCATTGACCTGAACACCAGCCCAAAGCATGGGATACCACTGGACTCTGGCTCTGGCTCCCATGCTCTCTTCCCAGCAGGCTTTTCTCTTTTTGTGTGTTTGTTTTTGTGTTTAGGCCCTAACTGGCGGCAGACCCAGGGGACCATATGAGATGGTAAGGATCAAACCCAGGTCAGGTCCCTCCTAGCAAGCTCTGAACTATTTTCAACCTGGCTAATTTTTTTCCCCCTTTTCCTTTTTTAAAAAATTTATTTATTTATTTTTGGTTTGGGGGCCATGCTGGACAGTCCTTGGGGTTTACTCCTGACTCTGTGCTCAGCAATCACTCGTGGCGGGCTCAGTACACCATATGGAATCTCCAGATTGAACCCAGACCTGCCATGTAAAACCTAGCACCTCATCCGCTGTCCTGCTTCTCTGGGCCCCAACTACCTAATTTTCATGAAATATTACTAAGAGTTTTATCATTCAACCAGAGGCTAGTTCTCATGGTGGGACAAAGGAAATAAAAGCCTAAGGATAAACACCAGGACATTTTGGGGTTTGATTTGGGGTCACACGGAGCAATGCTCAGGGGTTTCTCCAGGCTCTACACTCAGAAATCACTCCAGGTGGTGCCCAGGAAACCACATGGGACACCAGGGATAGAACCTGGGGTGGTCACACGCATGGCAAGTGCTCTAACACTGTACTGTCAGTCTGGAACCTCAATTGCTTTTTAAATAAAGCAAAAGAGAGTGATACGGCCCCCAACTAAAAAATAAAGCAAAAGAGTGAAAGGTAAGAAAAAAATTATCAGACTAAATCAGTTCTTATTCCCTATGTAAGAAACTAGATTAACACATTCAGTATTGTATAGGGTTCTGGTAACTTTTCCTTGGAGGTGGAAAAAAAAACACTGTAGAAGCTTTCAGGATAAAAGCCTAAGTAGGAATGCCTCCTGAGCATTTCTAGCTTGATAATTTCCCGGGAACTGAAGTTTCAGAAGAATATATGATATGCTTGGTGCTTGCTTTGTCAGGATTGATACTGTTATCAAAATCCTCTCTCCTGTTCCAATACAGGAAGAACCTTCAATGACAAGACAGTGGCTAAGTACCCTAATCTACTTTGTGGCTGACAACTCAATCTCCAGAAATAGGACAGCATCTGCCCTCTTCCTCTTTATCGAGACCAGTCAGAACAGGAGAGGAAGAGTTCATAGTTCACTGAAGAAAAGATGGGGCCAAGAGAACAAAACAGCACTAGGAGTCTGGAGAATTAATTAAAGGACAGCAGTCCTGGGCTCTGTTCAGAGAGGTGATCTGTCGCCACGAAAAGAAAAAGGACAACCCTGAACAGACAGTCTAGAGACACTGAAATCCTTCAGGAGCCACTTCCAGGAGTTCTCATGCCTTGGAAATGTTAGGGTCCTAACCAGGCCTCACCCAAAACCTGACCTCCTAGGCTCCACCGGAGGGAGGGAGAGAAACTGAAAACCAGTCATCCAGGTCAGAGCCCCTCCCTAGTACTTAGCTGTCCTTCAATTTCCGCCAGGGGAAGAGGAGAAAGGATGACTCACTGAACTCCTACAGCCTGGGAAGATAATTAGAAGGGGAAAAGAAATTAAACCTTAGAACACTGAGATGCCCAGGATTTAAAATGTCTTCAATCTCCTTTTCAGACTTCGCCACTGTGGCCCAGGTGTATTGGGGGGAGGGGTAAAGGGGCGAGGGGGTGTACCTCCATCCCTGAAGAAACTTAAGATGAATGAAAAAAGAGATCAACTCCCCTACTAGGCCGAGGTGTCAGTCTTCCAAGACCTTGTTCTTTCCTCAGTTTCTGCAGTTTCACACATAAAATCATCCAATTTCTTGGGCAGTCTACCTCTCACCCACACCTGGATATGGGCGATGATGAACTTTAGCCCGGTCACCTTCCTGATAGCAACCCGTCCTAACCGAAGTGTGCAATCCTGGGACTGAGTTTCGTTATCTGTTGCCAGATAGCCTGCCCCCACGATGGCAGAATCTAGGTGAGGCAAGTAAGTCAACTTTGCAGGCAGTGTTTCCTCCTCGAGTCAAATCAAAGACCTGTGGCTTCCATCCTGAGCAGTGCAGCTGAGAAGACACGCAACGAAAGGGAGGCATGTGGGAGCAAAACCTAGTCCTGCCAGAATATTCCATACTCAGCTTGTCTTGAGAAGAGGTTTGCTGCTGCTCGATTGCTTGGCCAGATTCCTAGGTGACCACCCTAAATGGCCTGTCTGAATCTGTTGCCTTTGATGGGAGATGAGGCCTGAGCTAAGGAGAGGAGTTGTTGGGGCCCGTTCTCAGCCTCTGGTAGTAATCATAGGCTCCAAGAAGCACAGGGAGTGGCAGTAGCCCAGAAGGCGGGCTGACTCACTGATGAGACTCCCAGACCTGTAACACCTCAAGAACAGGTTCTTCTGCCCACCCATTCAGTACTCCTGTTTGCAAGACAAAAAAACAAATAAACAAATAATAAAGGGGACAGCAAGTTTCAGTATTCAGATTCCTGGAAAGCTGTTAATCCTAGCCTTCCCTAACACTTCCTAGGATTTAAAAAAAAAAAAAAAAGCAGTTTAGCTCCTGGTAAGGAAAACAAAGTAGGAGTCCAGAAGCTTTGACTTTTAATCCCAGGCTTGATCAATGCTTTGCTATGTAGCATTAGGTAATCCACAGGAAACTCTCCAAGCTTATTACTCCAACTACATAGTGATAAGGGAATGAAGGAGACAATGCTTAAAAAGAACCGGGAATTCCTTTTATGCCAGCTGGCTTAATGCTGAGCATTCACTGAGCTGAAGATACACACACAAAAATAACATTATTAACTATCACCATCATCATCCATTATCATTCCAGCTCCACCTTCATCCTTAATTGCATTTCTACTATCTGAGGTCCTAGAGACTCAAGGACAATTGAAACAGAGAAACTAAAGCTCCTGAAGAATAGGTGAGTACATTCCACCCATGCCTAGCAAATAGTTCAAATGTATGACTCTTGTGAATAAGACCAGGATGGAATGAACACCCAGTTCCTGTCCCTGGAGATTCTCAAGATTCCATGGGAAGACAATTTCCTCCTAAATTTCTCTTACAGCTCTAGATTTGTGGTGCTTCTATTAATCAGCTTTTCAAGCAGCTGCGTATGAGATATACAGGCCCTGGTCACTTAAACCGGGATGAGAAAACATGGAGAGAGAAAGAAACAACTGCTGCTCAACTAATGCCTGAAATCATCAGTCGCTCCTATTCAAATCACATGCGGGCACCTCTGCAGTTATGAAAAAAGGGCCAGAGGACTGTCACAGAGGTTGCCAAACTCTAAGGATAAACAGGTTGGGAGAGGTCAGAAACAAAAATTGAAAAGCGGGGCGGGAGCGATAGTACAGTGGGTAGGACGTCTGCCTTTCACATAGCCAACCCGAGTTCGACGTCCGGTATTCCATACGGTCCCCAGCACAGCCAGGAATAAACCCCTGACCATCACTGGGTATGACCCCAAAATAAAAAAAAGAACAAAAAACCTGAAAAGAAAAAAAAACCCAATTTATAAATGGCAAATGGCTTTCACAGTCCTGACTTTTATTCCCAGAGGATCACAGCAAAGTTTCACCCCAAACCCTCCCTTATCAATTTTACAAACAGACAAAACAACAGCTGATTTAACTGCCTCATAACTCAAGAAGTTTAAAGAATATAAACTGGCACTGCCGAGAGACTGAGAAGATCTCAAGGGCCCCTGGAAAGGAAAAGAAGACAGTGGCTGGGCCTCTACACACCAGTCTTGCTTGAACCAGACAACACTACTCTGAAGATTTTATACAGAGGACAGAGAGATAGTACAGCAGGTAGGGCATTTGCCTTGCACACAGAAGACCCGAGTTCAATCCCCAACCTCACATACAGTTCCCTCAGCTGCCAGGAGTGATCCCTGAGTGAAGAGTCAGGAGAAAGCCCTTAGCATCGCTGGGCAAGACCCCCAAAACCAAAAAAATAAATAAATAAACTTCACATTAAAAAATAATAGATTTTATACACTGAGCCAGAGCGATGGTATCTATGGGCAAGGAGCTTTGCATGCGGCCAACCCAGGTTTGATCCCCAGCAGCACATAAGGTCCCCCGAGCACCACAAGGAGTGATTCCTGACTGTGGAGCCAGAAGTAATGGTGCGCCACTGAATGTGGCCCAAAAACAAACAAAACAAAACAAAAAAGATAAAGCGCAAAAAGGGGAAAAGATTTAAGGCACTCCCAATACTGCTAAGTATTGAGAAAGCAAGAGGGAACAAACAGGTATTTTCATCAGCCGTCTTATTAGTCTCTGTTCTAAGGGCTACCATTTTTCGTTTTTATGATCAATGATCAATCCAACTAATAATTTCTACTGATAGCTTTCCCTACTTGACTAAAAAAAAAAAAAAAAAGACAAGTAAACTGCTGCTAAGTAGCTAAAGCCTACCAGCCTCCACTAATGATACTGGCAGCCGAAAGGCTCTTCTTCCTACTCCCAGTCCTCAGCTCTCAAAGAAATTCTCACCTGGATCTCATACTGATGTAAAAGTAGACAGCTGTAATCTAGTGAAGACAAGAGGATGACAAGTCAGCTTTCATTTCCCGTCCCCCACACCCGGATTTCTGGGCCACACTCGGCCTGACCCATTCCAGGCGTTCCTGACGATGCTCGGGTGACTGTGTGGCACTGGGGTGGATGCGGGGCCTCCTGTAGGCGGAACATGCACTCAGCGCGCTGAGCCAACTCTCTGGCCCCAGAAGCCAGATTGAAAGGCCTGAACAGAAGAATTTAGTTGAGGGGCTGGAGAGAGTAGAGCAGCTAAGGCAATTGCCTTGCACGCAGAAGACCCCAGTTCGATCCCCTCAGCCCAGAGATATATTCAGAGGAACTGCTAGAGACAGATGAATAGAAAAAAAGAATTTCAGAGATACAGCTAGGTGAGAGAGATATACGGTATTTATTGTCTCCACAGGGCAAGTCCAGGAGACAGTATGGAGGGAAAGAGCCCAGAAATTAGTTCTAAGAAAACTAGAAGGGGGGCAGGGAGACGTATGAGTGGCAGGAATACACGCTTTACGTGCAGGGAACAGTCAGATCCCGGCACCACAGGGTGCAATGTGCACCACTGGGAGGATCCCCCACATCCAGCACCACGCCAGGTGTGGCCCCAAAAAGGAACACAAAAAAGAAAACAGTGAGGGTGGGACTCTAGAAGGACTAAGTCTCTTCTTATTTTGAATTAGAAGTAGTAACTGCACATCCAGTCACTATGTCCCATGAAGCACTAGAGAGTCCAGTGGGAAAGGCACTTGCCTTCCACATAGCTGATGCAGGATCTGTCCCCGCTACCCCTCGTGGTCCCCAGAGCCCCACCAGGAGTAAGCCTTGAGAGTAAGCCCTGAGCATCACTGGGCGTCGCCCCAAAAGACAAAAAATAATATAAGTCCAATGACATTCTTTTTCCTTGGGCCAAGGGATCATGGAAAAAAGAGGGCCCCCACTTTTCTGGCATAGGGGATGGGAAAGTAGGTTAAATGGCTTCAACTATCAGTTAGAAAATGCCTATGTCAGGACAACTCTTTGTGGGGAAACTGGTATAACCTGCCAAACAATTTCATGATTCCAAATTAGCAAGTTAAGAACAAGGAGTCTGATGCCCTATCTCAAGAGCAAATAGGCTAAAAGACAAAATCCAACTCATACTGCGCCCCCCACCCCCAATTTTCTAGGGCTTGGTTTTTTTTCAAAGAAAAAACCCTCACCAGAGTGTCAACTAGTTCTGCACATGTGCCTTCTGATACAGCACCACAAATGCTACAAGGATACCAAGATTCTGAACAAACACCCCTTGGTTAAGATGTTGATTTTACTTGCTGTTATAATAGCAGAAACCGAAAGGCCTGACACAGGAGACTCCTAACTCCTTCCTGGGGAATCAGTCCATGACGGACAGATCTCTAGACATGTTAAGTTTATATGAAAGAAAAAATCCATATAGAAAGGAGGTTAGCTAGAGAATAATAAGGCTGTTCTAGATCACTGAGGGATTTGGTAGGCTGGAGAGCTCGGGGCCAAAAATCTAAGAAAATTGGAATGATGCTAATAACTTAGATTAAAATTTCAACTTCTTCACTCACAACCTCCTTTCCCCAGAGAAATTTTTACACAGCCCCAGATACATAAATAAAATAGGTTTACATATCAAACATTTACTGAAAATAAACTGTAACAAAATTTATATGAAAACAAACATTCAGTTACAAGACGCTGGAGTTTGAATTAGTCCAGAATAACTGATCCATGCTTTTTCTGCTTACTATCACTTTTAATCAAAGGACACACTTTTCTGGAGAAAGGGGAACTCCCAAGTGGTGCTCAGAGGTCAAGCCCTGTGATTCTCAGCCAACAGAGCTGGTGGTTCAATGTAAGGGTCTGAGAACACAATGCTGTTGGGCCTTGTGGGGCCCAGAGCTACTGGGTCACCCCAATGGTGCTTAGGAGGCACCAGTCACGTCCCACAACGTTGAGGTGTCCTCCAGGGCAACACCTGGCAGTGCGTGGGGGGCAGGTGGTGCCAGAGTTCTACTGCGGTCAGGCATGGGAACCCCTGTACTATCTCCCAGTCCACAACCCACATCTTAAAGAATCCCTTCTGGCACAGGAAGTTCAAGTTGGGACTGTTTCCTTCCCTTCTATCTCAGGTTAGAGTCTGCTTTGCACTTCCCTCTGTAAAAGTACACGCACTGCAGCAATTTCTGCTTCATCCAACCTTCAGTGGGTCCAAATTCCTTTTATTCCCTCCCGTTTAATTATCTTCCTCTTCCTACCAACCTCCCTCACAGTGCTTTCAGCAGTCCCTCACAATTAGGTTTGAACCTGAACAAGCTAAGTACCCAGGAAAATCTAGCCTGCTCTGATTGTTTCAAGAGCTACAGGTAAAACACTAACCCAATGACTCAACAGTTTTAAGACTCAAAAGCCTCATACAGCAACATGCTTGCTAGTGAGCACCACTGAGCCCGAGCAGCACTATATGGCTTGGGCTTGCCAGTGGTCAGGCCAGCATTGCCGGCTAAAGTATAGCCAGGAGTGGCCCCAACAACTGCTGGGAAAGCTCGCTACAACCCCTACAAAAGCTGCTAAAAGGTAAACAGTTAAAAATACTGTGGAGTGAGAGAGCACAGTGGGTAAGACACTTGCCCTGCATACATGCCACAGACAGTCCCTGAGTATAGAGCCAGGAGTAAGCACTGAGCACTGACAGGTGTGGCCTAACAGACTGAGCACTGACAGGTGTGGCCTAACAGCCAAAAAATAAAATACTGCAAAAAATGGGAAGGAAAAATCATTCAGGAGCCCGAGCAATCGTACAGTGAGTGGTAAGGTGTTTGTCCTGCAACACCTGGCACTATATATGACCCCCTGAGCTCCATCAGGTGTGATCCCCAAGCAGGGTCCGGAGCAACTCCTGAGCACCACTAGTGTGGCGCGCGCGCGCACACACACTCACTCACACACACACACAGAATAAATCACTCAGTCTCCTCCAGTAATAAGTAGATGGCAAAACATTAGTATCTTGTGGCTGGAGTTATTACAGAAGATAAAGTGCTTGACTTGCACACAGCTGACACACACAGGCTCGATACAACACAGGTTCGATCCTTGGCAGCTTACTCTTTTTGGTTCCCCAGCCCCATCAGGAGTGATCCCTGAACACAGAATCAGGAGTAAGCCCTGGGCACTGCCAGATGTGGCCCGAAACCAAATAAAACAAAAAACAAATTATCTTTGTTTTGGGGTCACACCCAAGGTGCTCAGGGGTTACTCCTGGCTCAGCACTCAGGAATCACTCCTGGCAGGCTTGGGGGACCATATGGGATGCCAGAGATTAAATGTGGGTTGGCCACATGTAAGGCAAGTGCGCTAACAACTGTACTATTACTCCAGTCCAAAATATAAATATCTTAAATGGGAAATCTGAAACTATCTGCTTTTCCTAAAAGGACGTGGAATTGGAGATTTAAATTGGAAACGACCTTTCCTTTCAGCAGGAACTTACGTCAAGTCTTTCACCAGACAGAGAGAGTACAGTGGTCAGCAAACTTGCATTGCAGACACAGTTCAATTCCTGATGCCACATATGGGCCTCTGAGCATCGCCAGGGAGGATCCCTGAGTGCAGAGCCGGGACTAAGACCTGAGCATCGCTGGACATACCCCTTTGCCAATCCAGTCTTCCAGCACTCCTCCTACAGAAATCATGCCTTTCCCAGGAGCCTTCACTTCCCTATGCCTTCGCTCTTAATACTACAGAGAAACCCATCTAAGTAGCACGGAAAGCCAGAACTGTCCGTCCCATCGGTGTATCTTCTAACTCAACCCTAAAAGTCCCCACAATCTCGAAATCTAAATCTCAGATATCCTGGAGATAACAGCCTTTCCTATATTCTAGTTCTGCCACAGAGAGCTGATCACTAAAGCTGTGTCACATCTCTCCTGGCGGCATCCTCCCACTTCCTTCCGTGTGGAGGATCATCTACTGATGGAACTGTGTAGGAAACTACGGAGAACATCTGTAATTCCAAAGGCAGGGGAAAAGAAAGGGGAAAGGGCAGAGGATTCAACAGAGCAGTAGATACCCGGCTAAGGACAGGCTTTTTCCCTCACTCTTCTATTCCCGGGATTAGGATTTACTTTCATCAGACATCAGCACTAGCAGCAGTAACTAGGAAACTTCAAGAGCAAACACACCCCCTTCGCCTCCCACACAGTACCCTCCACCCCCACCCTAATACCACCGCTGGGGAAACACTCACGTAAAGGCAAAGAAGAGCGTCGTGGCTCCTACTAAGAAGATGGCGGCTGCTGAGACCGGAACATACTTGCTGGGTTTGAATCTCTTTCCAGACTCTGCGGGCATGTTGGACCTCTGGTGGGAGATCTGCCCTGCCGCATAGCCCAGGCCCACACAGCGGCAGAACAGGCAAGAAAATGGGACGAGGGAGAAACGATGGAGAGAAGAGTCCGGAAGGGAACCAAGGAACAGAAATTCAGAGGTGTCACCCTTCCCCCTCCCAAACAAAACCAGAGGTCAAAAGACTGCGAATGAAGGAAAGCACATGGGAGGGGGAAAGGTGATGGCCCACCGATGAACCACCACCTCCCAGAATGAGGCAGACAGAAAGCTTAAGAGACACAACTTGTGCAGGTTAGAAACTGGAAACAAACAGGAGGCCGGACACATGCAAATAGATGCGAATGGAGAACATGGGCAGTCAAGCAGATCAAGGAACAGCTCATGGATGGAGGCAAGTCTGCGAAAGGAAAGTCGAGAACGGAGGAGGGCGGAATCCTTCAGAGAAAGAACAAAATTCTTCGGAGATACGAGGGTAGCTCCACGCCGACCACACAGTCCACAGAGGGTGACGACCACCTACACCTCCGAAGAAGTGTGCCCAGAGTTTCTATTTTAATCCCCAAAGGAACCCAGAGCCCATTGCAGCTGGAAAGAAAAGCAGTCTGTCGAGTCCCTCTAGGCGGTTTTCTCTCGAGTCACCACTCCCACACCTTGACTTCAGGGCTTCTTCCACTTGGGCACTGATTTAACTTGATTTCTTTCCTGTTGATGGCTGACGCTGGGCAGCAGCTGGTACAAGGCTAAGTTGTAATTCCTTTTCTTTGGAGAGGGAGGGAAAACAGAAAGGAGCACAGGAGGTTTGTCTTCGATCTCTTCTTGTTCCCAAGTCCTCTAAGAACTTTGTTTTCTACAGAGTTCATACAAAACTAAAGGGAAATACGAAATCCCCGAAGCCATGTTCTTCCCGGTAAGCAAAAGAAGGTGAATTCCGTTAATGCCACTCTGAAGATACTTTTGAAAGTTTACTATGGATGAAAACAAAGTTCCAAAGAGGTCCCTGTTACCAGGTTAATCAATGTCTCCAATCTGTCTTCAATCTTGGGGTTTCTGGATGCAGAGTTCAACTGGATTACAGTGCCTCACCTGGAGCAAAACAAATCATCTTGATCAGAAAACTTCTTTTCAAGAAGTTTCTTAAGAACACCAAGACTAAAGGCCCTCAGGCTACTCTGCTAAAAATGCCTAGTGAAAGATTATTTTCATTTTCTTCTTCTTCTTTTTGGGCCACACCCAAGGGTGCTCGGAGACCAAACAAGGCCAAGGACTGAACCCAAGGTTCCCACCGCAGAGTATGTACTCCAGCTCTCTGAGCTGTCACGGGGCCCCAGATATTTTTCTACTTCGTGAATGTGTATGGGGAGTCAGAATTCTTCACCATCCTAACTTCTGGTCATACTGGAAAGAGAAAAAAAACATGACTTCATTTGGCCTAAGGTCAAAATACAAACTCTTATAAGGCCCATCTCATCTGATACAAATATCAAGGCACGATAAATACTAAGAATGTCAAAACTGCAGCTAGAGAGATAGTGCAGCAGACAGGACACTTGCCTTGCTGACCTGGGATTGATTCCGGCATCCCATATGGTCGACCAAGCACCACCAGGGGTAATTCCTAAATGCAGAGCCAGGAATAACCCCTAAGCATAACTGGCTGTGGCCAAGATAAAAAAATGAGTCAAAACTGGATCAGGAATATGGCCCAGTGGTAGAAGACATACCAAGCATATATAGGGCCTTGAGTTTGATCCCCAATACTGCAAGGCGGTGAGGGGGCAGCCACTTTAAAACACCACCACCACCAATAAGCCCACAGAATAGAAGTGAAGAGTATTCTTCTTAGGCAAAGTATATTTATCACCATACTGATATAAGGATAATGAAATATTACTATTGGAACCTTAAGTCTCACTTCCTTTTAGTCTCTCTCATATCTCTATGCTTTTTAGTTATAATCCTGAAAAGGTAAAAACTAAATTTTTAATTCTGGAATAACCCACAAAAAGGACCTGAATGAGAAACATTCTTGCCTTGAAAGGAAAATGTTTTCAATAAGAAAGTAAGTCAACCAGACAGGCTGATCCTTTTCTTCCCAATTTAACAGTTTATTCCAACACTGGTGATTAGTAGTTCACTGAGCCCCACCTTCTCAGATATGATTAAGAGCAACAATTATTTTTCTGTTGATGGTAGTAACAAAACAACACCATCACTTTGCATTTTATAGAATGCTTTTCATCTGGTGATCTCAAAGCACTTAACTCACATTATCTGGTGACATGGCCCCTTATCCCACTTTGTAAAATTGAAGGCTAGAGAATGCCTGGAGCCATTTCACTGAATCACTTGAGTAGTCAGGCTCAGAACCCAAGAGTTCACAAGCCCCTTCGCCAACACAAACTCTTACTACCTCTTTCTTATCCATTACACTACCTGCCCACACAGTTAGGAATCCGGTGGAGGGGGGGGGGGAACCTTTTTTTTTTCAACTTGTTGGAATATTTTAAATAAAGACTTTATTCCATTCAAGCCACCTAGCATCTACCTTAATAACAAAAGGCCAGACTGAAATGTCAGAATTCAAACAGTGAAAAAGAATATGCTGGGGAATTTATCACTTCCTTTTTTACCTGTGGCATGAAGAAGGTAAAGGCACCTTTTTTCAACATGTACCATCACTCTGGACAAAATTATTTTAGAGAACCAAACAATACGAGCAATAGAGTGAATCCCCAAAGAGATTACAAAAAGTTGCTAGCTCCATTAAAAGTAAAGACCTGAGGGACTGTACAGCGGATGGGGAAGTTGCCTTAGACACAGTGGACCTGGGTTTGATCCTGGGCCCCCATCTGGTCCTCTGAGCCTGTCAGGAGTGATCCCTGAGCACAAAACCAGGAGGAAGCCCTGAGTACCTGGATGTGGCACCTCACTCCCTCCTAAAGAGTAAGAACTTGATTCCCCCCCCAAAAAGTAAAGACTTGAGGGGGAAGGAGAGAGTGAGAGTACAGCGAGGAAGGTCCTTGTATGCACCGCATATGACTGCCCCCAGCCCTACTGTACGTGATCCCTGAGTGCAGAGCCAGGAGTAAGCACTGAGCATGCCAGATGTGAACCCCCAAAATACAGTCCAAAACAAACAAAAGACCTGGGACCGTGGGTGGGACTCAATGGAAGAGCACTTGCCTCACAAGTGTGAGGCTGTTTGACTCCCCTTAACTGCTTGGTCTCCTGAGCACTGTCAGGAGTACCTCCTACCCTCAGCCAGTAGCAGCCCTGGGAACAGCTGACGGTGGACACCTCACCTCTCCCCCACAAAAAAAAAAAAAAATCCCTAACTTAATTATCAGTTTCCTGTAGGTATCAAAATCAAAACCCAAACTTTTCTGAATTCAGGCCTAAGCAACTTTATTCACAAAACACAGGGGATGGAGATTAACTCAGAGGTTGACCCAGTTTGATTCCTGTCATCACCAGGAGTGAAGAGGGAGCACGGGGTCAGGACTAAGTCCTGAGTACTGCTGTGTGTGGCCCCCAAAATAAAAACAAACAAAAAAAAGGGCAAATGTTTTGGTTTTTCAAACAACACTATTAAAGCTTTCCCTCGAGATCCTAAAACTTACAGGGAACAGAGCAACAGTACAGGAGGTAGTAAGGCCTTGCCCTGCACTCAGCCAAAGGTGAGTTCGAACCCCAGCGAACCTTATATGGTTCCCCAGTCAGTGGGGCGTGTTCCCTGAGCACAGAGCCAGGAGTCAGCTGAGCACCACTGGGTGTGGCCCCCCCCAAAAAACAAAGCAAACTAAAATAATAAAATTTCCATATGAATCGCTGGCTTTAGTTAGTGGCACCAGCTCCTCCTCCAAAAAAAAAAAAAAGAGGGAAAATTACCCTACTTACGTTTTACTTAGACTAGGATATAATTTAGTCACCCGATATTGAGTCAAATTATTTCTTCTGACAGAGGAAAAAAGGCAGGCACATGGATTATAACAGTGCCTTAGGTAAAGCAAGGCTCACAAGCGGCCATTCTCAGAGTCCAGAACTAGAAAAAGAGACCAGGGACTGAGACGCCGGGGCATAGGCGTTGGAAGGAACCAATTCACCAGGCATGATCCGCGACACACCAAGTTTTCACAGGACCCTGCTGGGTTAGGAGGGCTGGGCTGAGACCGCAGGGCGCGTGTGGGCCATCAGCGTGAGAAAGGTGTACAAGAACGCATATGACACACTCGGGCGCAGAATGACCTATGGAATGGAAGTATGTACCTATAAACAATACGAACTATGTGGCCCGGTGGCTTCTGCCAAGGTTTACTCTTAGCACTTCCTTCACCGGGGTTCGGGAGAAGCAGCGCCCTGAGCCCCAAACCGGGCCAAGTCCTGCTGGTGTGGAAAAAAGCAAGGGGCGGAAGAGAGTAAATCTCAATGCACCCGGTACTCCCAAAGATCATGGAAAAATCATCCACACGCCCGAGCTACCGAGTTGAACCTGGGTGTTTCTTAGACAGCCAGGTAGCAAAGTACAGGGCCACCTAACGCTGACGAGCACTGGAGGGGGGGGGGGGGTTTCTAGAATGAGCTATGATAAGAGAAGGCGCATTCTTGAAGCCCTTTGCCACACACCGCCGCCCCGACGGCAGGGACGACGGCAGGGATGCAAATATTGGCTGCAATCGGGGCCGAGGAGGCACTGAAGCAGGAATCCTAAACATCCCAGGCGGGTCAGCAACAGTCCGGAGCGCCGGACGGACGCTCATCTCACCCTTGTGCTCCCCGGCACAACTTTTCAGTCACTTTCTCACTTCTCCTTTCCGGGCATGGGTTCCACCGAGACGACAACCGCAGCACACTTTTTTTTTTTTAAATTTCCTACCCCCCCCCCCACTCTCCCACCACCCCCACTCTCCCACCACCACCCGCCCCCCCCCCACCTCCCGGGTCCCAGCGATTCCTGAGAGGTGAAAAAACCCTCTGGGCGAACCCATCCGAGCTCCACTTGTCCAAAGTCCCCTCTAGAAAGGAGGAGAGGGGGGCGACGGCCGAAGTGGGGTGGGGGGAAGAGAAGCCGGGTGTGGGGGTGCCCGGCAGGCGGGCAGGGCAGGGCAGGGCAGGGCATGGGCAGGGCATGGGTAGGGCAGAGGGGCGCAGCGCCCGGGTCCCCCACCCCGGAGTCGGGGCCCGGCTGGCAGAGCCGGACGCCGGGAATGCGCGGAGGCAGGGCCTCCACGGGGGGCTGCGGGGAGCGGGCGCGACCCGGGGGCGGAAGGGGCGGCGGCTGGGGCACCCGGCGCGGGGTGGGGTGACGGGGTGGGGGGGGGAAGCGGGGTCCCAACCTAGCAAACCCGGAGGCCCGGCACTAACCCGTTCGGGGCCCCGGCGGCCCCCGACTGCCCGGCCTCTCTCCTCGCCGTCCGTTTCCGGGGCCATCGAGTCCCCGCCGCAGTGGGATGAGGCGGCCCGGCGGAGGAACGGAACGGGGGCCTCCTCCAAAGCGGCTTCCCCCCCCGCCCCGGTCCCCCCCTTCCCTAGAGGTCACTCTCCCCTCCCACCTCAGTGGCCCGGCACTTCCGGTTCCGCAGGGGTCGGCGTCCCCCGGCACTCACCCCCCGGCGCGGTCCCCGTCACGGCCGCCGCCGCCGCCGCCGTCGTTGTCGCCGCCGCCGCCGCCTCCCGGCAGTGCCGTCCGGCCTCTGAGAGGCAGCGCGCGGCCCCCGCACGCTCCACGCCCGCCCTGCTGCTCCGCGCGCTCCCGCCGGGCGACGCTCGTCTTCGAGGCAGGCGCGCGGCCGTGGCACTCCCCGCCCCCCCCACGCCCGCCCGCCCGCCTGCCCGCCTGCCCGCCTGCCTGCCTGCCGGCCTGCCTCAGTGCCGGGTCTCGGGCCCGCCCCGCGTTCCCATTGGCTGCCGGGCCCGGGCGCGCGCGACGTCTCACGCGGGGCACGTTTCTCTCATTCATGCGGCTCGCGCCGCCGCGCCCGCCCCCGCTCACTCGCCCATTCACCACCTCCCCCTTCCTCCCCTCCCCTCCCCTCCCCTCCCCTCCCCTCCCCGTCCCGGGCCCCCACCCCCGACGGCGCTCGCGGAAGGGCGTGCGCGCGAACTCGGGCGACCGCGGCGACCTCGCGTCGGGATTGGCGGCGGCGCGGAGCGGCGTACGCACGCGAGAGCACGAGGGCGCGCACGCCGGGCCGCGGGGACGCCGCCGGCCGGCGGGGAGACGGGACGTGCTGGCGTTGGTGCTCTGGGAAATTAGGGAAAGGACCTGGGTCGGCTTCCCGGTTCCCGGCCGCCCGGTTTCTGTTGGCGCCGTCCCCGCCCCCCACCCCCTCCAAACAGGGCTCTGAGGGAGTGCAGAATAATTAGGTGTGCGCTGGATTTACTCGAAAGCAAGCGGCCACCCTCCCGAATTCACCAAACTCCCTGGGAGGAAGTGTGGTACGGTCCAGACAGGCTTCTGTCGGAACCAATCACCGGGAGACCCTCACCGGCTGCGGCTTCACTCCCGCTTCCCGCATTGGCCAGCCGCGAGCCGGCTGCAAAGCCCTTCTCACGTTCCGCCCCCTTCGCCCCCACCTTTTTTTTTTTCAATAACAAAAACTTTATTGAAAAACCCTCCGAACGAAGCAGTCCTCTCTCTGCCCTGGCATGTGTTTTTTTTTTATTTATATATATATATATATTTTTTTTTTTTTAATTTTAAGACCAGCAGAACGGGAGTGTGCGATTTCCTCCTGGAACTCGAGGGGAGCCGGCTCGAGAGGGTCCTTAGCTCGAGGTGGGGGGCGAAGTTCCAGGCCGGAAGGTCTCGGAGGAGGGAGGAGAAGGCGCGCGGGACGAACTTCGGGGGTCCGTAGTGCCAGCCTGGGAAGGCGGAAAGGGAATGACTCGCCCAGCGTCGGCCGCGATCTTTGCTCCTCGTGCTTCGTCATTCCGGGGCTTTTTCGCTGCAACGCTCCGGGTGGGCGCCCAGGAAAACGGTGTTGCAAGGAGACTCCCCTCCTCTGGCCAGCTGCTGGCTCACTCTGCGGAGATCATGGCGCCACTTTGCCCTAATTAGCCCGAGACAGCTGTGACCCCCCCTCCACTCCCCCCCCCCCAAAAGCAAGGCCAGGTGTTTTCGCCTCCTTTTAGCTCCAGGCTATCTCTCTTTGGAAAGCAACGCTATTACATAAACTTGACACTTCAACTACGTCTCTCTCGGGCTAAAAAGTTCCTCATCTTTAGAAGTATTTCTAAAACCCGAGGTTTGTCCTTGGATAGAAGAGTCTTAAGGGTTGGGTTAATTGTGGCCTGAGATTTTAGCATTAGGCAGCAAGGTAAAGGAGAAAAACCTTGTTGTCCTAGATGTCGCCTATTCTCTGACATGGCCTATATATCGGGTTCTAGCGCAGTCCTGATAAGGACTTCAATCCTCCAGTTATTGCAAATATTTTAAACAAACTTGCTAGGGCCAGAGTACAGGGGTGAGGGCGCCTGCCAGGCATGTGGCAACCCGGTTTCATTACCCGCCCACACACACACACACTTGAGCACTATCAAGAGTAGCCCCTAAATACTGCTGGGTGTGGCCCCAAGCTGGGAAAATTATAAAATTATAGAAGGTAACGTTTTAATATTTTGAAGGGGGTTTTTTTGTTTGTTTTTTCTCGGTTGTTTTGGTTTAGGGGCTACCCCCAGCGATGCTCAGGATTATTTCTGACTGCTCTCAGGAATCACCCCTGGCGTTGCTGGGAGACCGACCATAAGGGATGTTGGGTCGTCCTTGTGCAATGAAGGTGCCTTACCCGCTGTGAGATCTCTCAAGGCCTCAATATTTTAAAGTATTTTTAAAATATTTTTAAATACTCAACTTTCTACAAAAGTAAAAGTATTATGAAAAGTGATTGTGGAGTGTTTTTGAGGTCATCCTCTGCTGAGCTCTGGGGAAATCCTGGATCCATGGATTTGCTGAGGAATCAAACTTGGGGCTCCTGCATGCAAAGTGTACCCTCCAGCCTTCTAAAGTATCTTCCCAGCTCTTTTTTTTTTCTTTTTGGGTCACACCCCTTGATGCTCGGGTTACTCCTGGCTTTTCACTCAGGAATTACTCCTGGCAGTGCTTGGGGGGCCATCTGGGATGCCATCTGGGATCGAACCCAGATCGGCCTCGGGCAACGCAAACGCCCTACAGGCTGTACTATCGCTCAGGCCCTTCCCTGCCCATTTTTATGTTGGCCCTCCCGTTGATCGTCGACTTGCTCGAGCGGGCCCAGTAACGTCTCCATTGGAGACTTTTGTTGTTACTGTGTCTGGCATATCGAATACTCTTGGTAGCTTGCCGGGCTCTCCGAGAGGGGCGGAGGAATCGAACTCGGGTCGGCCATGTTGGCCACTTGTAAGGTGAACACCCTACCTCCTGTGCTACCATGAGCCTGGATAGCTCAGTAGGTAGAGCATCAGACTTTTAATCTGAGGGTCCAGGGTTCAAGTCCCTGTTCGGGTGGATGCCCATTTTTATGTATAAGCAACATTTCCTTTGGAAATGTACATTTTTTCTTACATTTTAAGAAGTTTCTCTAACTCAGCAACTTAAAAGATCTTTCTTCTACTTTCAACTGTCGAAAAAAAATTGCTGTGAGGGCAGAAGTAACAGTATAGCACAAACTGCTTGCACATAGCCAACCCGCATTTGAACTCAAGCACCACCAGGAGTGAAAAGTGACCAGGTGTAAGCCCTGGGCACAGCTGGATGTTGGCCCCTGTCAATAAAGAAGGGGAAAAAAAAAAGGCAGGGAAAAAACAAAATAGTTTCAGAAGTATTCAGAGAAGAATTCCCTATCTTTTAACCCCAGTAGCACCACCAACCCCTATGTTTATTTATTGGGAGGGGATGGGTTGGGTGAGGGGATGGTGCCACACCCAGGGCTCAGGGGTTATTCCTGGCTCTGTGCCGTGGATTGATCTCTGGCAGTATTCAGGGACCATGTGACCATGTGATGCCCAGGTTTCTGAAGCATGCAAGGCACGCCCCTTACCTCCTATATTTCTCTCCAGCCCCCCAGCCTGTTTATTTTTATTTTTATTCTTTTTTTTTTTTTTTTTTTTTTTTTTGCTTTTTGGGTTACACCCAGCAATGCTCGGGAGTTACTCCTGGCTTTGCACTCAGAAATTACTCCTGGTGGTGCTTGGGGGACCATATGGGATGCCAGGGATCAAAGCCAGGTCAGCCGTGTGCAAGGCAAACACCCTACCTGCTGTGCTATCACTCCGGGCCCCCCCCCCCCCGCCCCCAGCCTGTTTAAATACTGCCTTCCTGCCTGTCCTTATGAAACGTCCGTGATAAAGAAGTTTCTCCCCTGTATTAACAATCCTCCCTTTACTACATGTCTACATGTCCCTCTGCTTTTTAATTTTTATTCAACTCTCCAGATTCATATTTCCAATTGTCTCCGTGGCACCTGCATATGGCCAAATCAGAGTACATAGTACTCAAGTAGAAATCATGCTATTCCTTTATCCCCTCCCAGTATTTTCCCAATCTCATAGCCAATCTAGTTGCTCAAGTAGCACTGTAGTCGAGCGGGCACCAGTAGAGTCTCCATTGTGAGAGTTGTTATTAATGTTTTTGGCATATCGAATATGCCCCGGGGAGCTTGCCTGGCTCTGCTATGTGGGTGGGATACTCTCAGTAGCTTGCCGGGCTCTCCAAGAGGAACGGAAGAATCAAACCCGGTGGGCCGCATGCAAGGCAAATACATGCCCTACCCACTGTGCTATTGCTCCAGCCCAGTTGCTCAAGTAAAAAATAAAATCTAGGAATCATCCTTGTTTTCTTCATCACTCCCATCACAAGTACTATCAGATTTTACCCCAAAAATAACCCAAGGCTATTTGTGCACCAGCTCCACCTCTGCTGCTCTAGGTAAAAATCACTCTATTCTCATATTAAAAGAACTGCATTGTCCGGTTAAGCGAGCACTGCCAAGAGTAATTTCTGAGTGCAGAGCCAGGAGTAATCCCTGAGCATTACTGGGTGTAGCCCCCAACCACCACCGCCCCGCCCCACAGAAAGAACTGCGTCATCTTCAATTTATGTCTTTCTCTTCTTTTTCTTTTGGAGCGGAGGTCACATCCTGGCTCTGTGTTCAGGGATCAGTCCTGGTAGGGTTCAGAGGACCACAGAGGGTGCTGGGAATTAAACCTGGGTTGGCTGTGTGCGAGGCAAGAGCCTGCCTGTACTATCTCTCCAGCCCATTGTCTTTCTATTCTTGTCTATAATTCACTCTGCACAAGTCATTTTCTCAAAACGTAAATTAGATTACACACCTTCCTTTGTATAACTTGCCATGGTCTAAATGTCCTAATAGTCCTCAAATATGTTGAAATTCAAACCCCAAACAATGGTACTAAGAGGCAGGATCTGAGAGGTGCTCAGGTGATAGGTCATGCAGGTAGAACCAGCAGCTGTCTTTCTTGTTACTGGGGGGCCACACCCAGCACTACCCTGCCTGTACTTGTGGACCATGTGATACCAGGAACTGAACCCAGGCCTCTCCAGCCCACTGAGCTATCTCTCCAGCCTTTTTTTCCTGTTTTGCTTTTGGATCACAGCCAGCAAGTTTCAAGGATTACTCCTGGCAGTGCTTTGGAGGGGGGCGGGGAGGGAACATATGGGAAGCTGGGGATCGAACCCTGGTTGGCCAGATGCAAGGCAAATGCTCTACCCTCCGTACTATCACTACGACCCCTAGAACGGCTTTCTTGAGTGGGAGCAGTACCTCTCTCAAAGGCCAAAGAGTGCTCCCCTGCCTCTCTGACAACAGGAAGACAGGGTTTAGTGAGCAATCTGCAACCCAGGAGTGAGCCTTCATCACTTTTTTTTTTTGCTTTTTCTGTCCCCCGGCAATGCTCAGGGGTTACTCCTGGCTCTGCTTGGGGTACCATATGGAATGCTGGAACTCTAAGCTGGGTCAGCCAAGTGCAAGGCAAACGCCCTCCCCGCTGTACTATCGCTCCAGCCCCACCTTCATCAGACTTTAAGCATTCAGACTGCTGATCTCTGATTCCCTAGTCTCCAGAACAGAGAAATTTCCAATGTTTGTAAGCTACTGTCCACAGTATTTTGTTACAGCTGACCAATCTAGGACTACCCTTCTTTCAGTGAATTCCCACACCCTTCTTCCAGTCTTAGCTCAAAATATATGCTCAGATCATCCTTCCTGGCCACTCAGTTTAAACTGGCTTTCCTACGGGCTGGAGATAGTACAGCAGGTGAGGTGCTTGCCTTGTACACACCAGACTCAGGTTCGATCCCCAGCACACTTACGGTCCCCAAGCTTTGCCAGGAGCGACCCCGGAGCACAGAGTCAGAAGAAAGCCTTGAGCACAGTCAGATGTGGCACAGTTCTACCCCCATCACCACCAAATAAAATTACAATAGTCCTCATTGACCAGGGATGCAGCTCAGTGGCCTTGCGTGTGTGAAACTATTGTAACAGAACTCACTTCATCAATTACATGAAAACATCTTTAGGTGAGAAAGCGAGATTTCATTATTCTATATCAAGATGGACCTAAACCAGGCAATCATCTGAAATTGTGGCCCCAAACAGAGGTACAGAGAGCTTTAAATAGGACGATTCCTGGGGGCTGAAGCGATAGCACAACGGGTAGGGCGTTGGCCGCCTTGCACGCGGCCAACCCGGATTCGAATTCCAGCATCCCATACGGTCCCCTGAGCACCGCCAGGAGTAGTTCCTAAGTGCAGAGCCAGGAGTAACCCCTGAGCATCGCTGGGTGTGACCCAAAAAGCAAAAAATAAATAAATAAATAAATAGGAAGATTCCTAACAACATAGCACTCTTTTTTTTTTAATTTTTTAATGAATCACCAATGAGGTACAGTTACAGACTTACACACTTCCAAGGTGCTTACCTTTCGCTCATACAATGATTGAGGACCCATCCCTCCAATCAGTGCCCATTCTCCACCACCAATGTTCCAAGTATCCCTCCCCCTCGCCCCCCCACTCTGTAGCAGGCAGATTCCCTTTTACTCTCTCTCTCTCTCTCCTTTAGGGTGTTGTGGTCTGCAACACATGTGTTAAGTGGCGACCACAACATAGCACTCTCGTGGGACAAAACGGAGAGAGGCAGAAGAAAGGCGATTCTTTTTTCAAGATTTTTTTTTTTACTCAACCACTGTGAGATGAGACCCATACAAAGGTATTCATGATAAGGTTTCAGTCATACAGTGTTCCAACACCCATCCCTCCACCAGTGTACATTTTCCAGCACCAGTGTCCCCAGTTCCTCCTATCACCCCGCACCCTGCCCCAGCCTGCCTCTATGGCAGGCACTTTTCTTCTCTAAAGAGCTTTCTTGATTGGTTAATGATAATATACTGAGTTACATTGAGTCAGAAGGGGCAAAATATGGGACTAAGACAACCCTCATTGCTGGGAATCTTTGTGGTGGATAATTCTGTTTTAAGTCCTGTGTATTTATTGCATATTTATTAACCTACTCATTGTTTCGGTGGCTTTGCTCCCCTTCTGGCCTAAGTAACAGGTTGGTTTGGGTCCTTCTGTTCTGTTCTGAATCATAACTTATGATTTATGGGCCATGCATCACTCCCCAGCCTCTAGAATGGGTCACTGAGAGGTCCTGCCTCCTAGTTAACTGCTTAGCAACCTGTTTCTGCTCCCAACTTTCTCATCATGATCACAGGGTGGTGATTTAGATCCCCAATGCAATGCATTAAGAGCCAGAGACAGAGCACAGTGGGTAGGGCGCTTGCCTTGCATGTGGCTGACCTGGGTTCCATCCTCTGCATACCATATGGTTCCCTGAATCATCAGGAATGATTCCAGAGTACACAGCCAGGAGTAACCCATGAGTATTGCCAGATATGCCCTACCACCACCACCATTACCCACCCCACCAAAACCCAAGAAAAACAACAAACAAAAATAAGTAACAACAACAAAAAAAAGTAACCAAAAAAGTATCCAACATAGGGCTGGAGCAATAGTACAGTGGGTGTAGCACCCGGCCAACCCAGGTTCAATCCCCGGCATCCTATATGTTTCCCCCTAAGCCCATCAGGAGTGATTCCTGAGTGCAGAGCTAGGAGAAAGTCCTGAGCACTGCTGGGTGAGCCACTCCAAAAAGTATCACAATCTATCTCATGGGGAAGAACCAGGCACCCAGCCCAGGATCTTTTAAGTGTACAGCATATTCTCTACCATTGAGTTACATTCTCAGCACCCATATTTCAAATTTCTAGGGTTTTATTATATATATTTTTTAACCATATCCAGTTGTGCTCAGGGTTTAATCCTGGCTCTGAGCTCAGGGATCACTCGTGGTGGTCCTGGGGGACCATCTGTGATGTCATGGTTCAAACTCAAGTCAGGTGCCTTACCTGCTGTACTATCTTATCTCTCCAGCCTTTTTTTTTTTTTTGGTTCTGGGCCCCTGCAATGCTCAGGGGGACACTCCTGGTAGGGCTTGGGGAGACCATATCGGGTGCTGGGGATTTAACCTGGGTCTGCTGAATGCAAAGCAAGCACTCTACCCACTAGACTATCTCTCCATCCCACAGCCCAGTGCTTTTTGGGGGTTTTGGTTTATTGGATTTGGAATACTCCTGGTTTAGAGCTCAGGGTGGGCCCAGGAGTCGAACTCAGGTTGGCTGAGAGCAAGGCACACAGGTAGGTTCACTGTACTAATGCTGGAGCCTCCCACAGCCCAATTTTAAATTTCTGTCTAGCACTTATTTTTGCCTTACAAGGAAAGATTCTAACTTTTTTTTTTTTTTTCAGTTTTTAGGTTACATTCAAATGGAGTGATGCAGGGGATTAAACCCAGGCCTCCCACGTGCAGAACATACTGTAGCCTGTTAAGCTCTCTCTCTGGCCTGGCTCCTGAAAATTGTCTTGTTCCCCGTCTAGAATCACTCCTGGCAAATAGTAGGTGTTTGATAAATGTTTGTGGGGGGAAAAAATGAATGGATGAGGGGTCAGAGATAGTACAGGGGCTGAAGTTTGATCCCTGGCACTACCTCTGATCTCCGGAACACTGACAGGAGTGATCCCTGAGGACAAGAGCCAGGGATATTAAGCCATTAGTAACTCAGGATTATTGATCAAAGACCAAAACCAAAAAAAAGTGTCCCTTGAGCACCACCAAGAATGATCCCTGAACACAAAGGCAGGAATAAGCCCTGAACACCACCAGCTGTGGGCCCAAAATGACAACAAAAAAGTGAAAAGGAGGGGTCAGAGTGATAGCACAGTGGAGAGGGCATTTGTCTTGCACGCAGCCAACCTGGGTTCGATCCCTGGCATCCCATATGGTCCCTTGAGCACCTCCAGGAGTGATTCCTAAGTGCAGAGCCAGAAGCAAGCCCTGAGCATCGCCGGGTGTGATCCAAAAAGCCAAAAAATAAATAAAATTTAAAAAAAAAAAAAAAGGGAGCTGGAGAGATAGCACAGAGGGTAGGGCATTTGCCTTGCACGTGGCCGACCCGGGTTCGATTCCCAGCATCCCGTATAGTCCCCTGAGCACCGCCAGGAGTAACCCCTGTGCATCGCTGGGTGTGACCCAAAAAGCAAAAATAAAAAATAAAAAAGTAAAAGTTAAAAAAAAAGTGAAGGGGAATTGGTAGATACAGTGAGTAGGTTGCTCGCCTTGTAATGTGACTGATCTGGGCTCAAACCGTAGGCCCCTTTATTGTCTCTCAGGCCCCACTCTAAGTGATCCTTGAGAACTGCCAAGTGTGGATCCCAAAAAAGAAAATGGACAAAGGGCTTTTTTAGTAAGTCCAAACTAGGGTGACCAGAGTTACTTGTAAAGAGTTCAAAGAAAATGGGCTTTCCTAGTCAGATCATCTGAAAGATCAATATGCACTTTTGATTTAGCCCAAGATGTAACTCAGCGATAAGAGTGGTTCCAATCAGAAATCAAACAATGGGCTGGAGAGATAGTGCAGCAGGTAGGGCACTTCTCTTGCACGTGTCCAACCGGGTTTGATCCCCAGCATCCCTAGCAGCGCCAGGAGGAATTCCTGAGGCAGAGACAGGAGTTAACCCCTGAGCATCACTGGGTGTGGCCCCCAAATTAAAAAAAAAAAATCAAACAAGACTGCCACAACTGAGACATGAGCTAACTCCGGAAAACTCTACATCTGTGATCTCATCCCGCAGTTTATCAGTAGGCTCTTTAGTTCCTCAAAGCAAACTCAGCATTAAAGAGACACTTCACATCTAAATGCTAAGTACAGAGAAAAGTGGAACCATCATAAAATCACCTGCTTGGCTTGTCATTGGTTCTTGCCTTCCTCTTGTCTAACCGTGTACCAATAAATCATTCTAATGTTTCGGTAAAAGACAGAAAATTAATTTTTAAGAATCATACCAAATCCTGTGATATAGTAAAAATATTTATTTTTCCAAGTTGCAATTTTATTGGAAGGAGCTCTGATATCATCTCTATCCCTAGATGAATAACAAATAACATATACAATATAAAACAGTGGGGGGGGGGGATCCACGGTAAAAAGTAGTCCACATGTATCACAGTGAAAAAAATTGGATTCTCCAGGGCCTCAGAGAATTTAAAGTGGCGCCTTGGGTGATCTCAAACCCCACCTGGATGTCTATGGTTTGGTTTTTCATTTAGGTTCAACAACCCACCGTTTTAAGAGGTAGCATCTAGGCTTTTGCTAGTCTGGCCTTTACTGCTCTGCCTTCAAGAGATTCTCATGCCTTAGCCCATCTGCCTTGGTGGTGGCCAGATCTTTCTGCAGGGGGGCTTCCTTCCTCTACTTCATATCCATGAACCGGATATCCATGATGAGCAGGAAGTTCTTGGGCAGCGGGCGGGGGGCCGGAGAGAGAACTGTGAACACCTGGTGCTCCAGGTCCACGCTGGTCACCACAATGAAGCCGGCCACGCTGGTCTCGGAGAGGTTCTCCTCGGTGCCCTCAGCAGTGCTGACACTCAGGAGGTGGTGCACCATGTCTCGGCCAGGGGTGACAGGCACCAGCTTGAGCTGATTGTCCTCCTGAGACATGCCCAAGGGCAGACAGGAATCTGGGATGGTGGGGGCCCCAACTTTGTAGATTTTCACGTCCGAGAATTTGACGTTGAAGGCATGAGGATAGAAACAGCCCCGGAAGCCGTAGAAATACTCCCGAATCCGCTCATCTCGGCACTCTCTCCGGAAGTCCTTGGAGCGCTCAACCACACCCCCGGATTTGGGGAGCAGCACAGTGCGGACAAAGTGCGGCAGGTCACGTTTCAGTTCATTGTACAGTCGCTCTTGGTCCAGAACCACCACCACGTCCACCTCAAAAGCCGAGGCGGCGTGCACGAGGGCTTGGTAGCCGGAGCCCTTGACCCAGCCGCAGGTGTTGATGACGCAGCCGCTCACAGAAGCCCTTCGGTTCACCTCACACCTCTGATTGAATACATGTGCTAACCTCGACGTGATCTGCGGAAGCAAAGAACCATCATCAGGGAACAGTTACCAAACTGGCCAACCCAACAACACCAAGCCATTTTGTCCCATGGACTTCTTTTTGGTGGGGGAAGAGGGAGCTTGGGTCATCTCCAGTTGTGCTGGAGGTTGGAGAGAGGGACCATGTGATGCCAGGGACCAAACAAGGGTGGGTCACATGCAAGACAATTACCTGTTTGTTTTTACTTGGGGAGGTGGTCACACCCAGTGATGTTTAGGGGTTACTCCTGACCTTGCGCTCAGAAATCACTTCTGACAGTGCTGGGGGACAATATGGGGTGCCTGAGATAGAACCCACGTTGGCTGTACGCACGAAAAGAATCCTGTCCACCATACTATCTCTCCAGTCCAAGGCAAGCATCTTTTTTCTTTTTTATTGGCTTTTGGGTTACACCCAGTGATTACTGATCATCCGGAAAAAAGCGAGCACACACCATGTGGGTTACGCTTGGAGTATTCCTGGACTATGCCCTCAGGAATTACTCCTGGGGGTGCTCAGGGGACCTTATGGGATGCTGGGAATTGAAGCCACATGCAAGACAAACACCCTCCCCACTATACCATCACTCCAGCCCAGCGAAGTATCTTGACACCCATACTATCTTACTAGCCCCTCAACTACTTATTTTGTGTTGCTTCATCTGTCCCCATCTCAGGCCGTCAATGGAAATTTAACCAATTACTGAAAATAAGCCCATGGAAACGACTATCTCAGGCTGGCATATTGTGTGTTTGTGTGTGTGTGTGTGTCCTCCACAGCTGAGCAGGCAGATCAAGTTCTGTCAGAAATCCCACATGGAGTGTGCTCACTTTTCTGCGGATGGTCAGTAACTGGTCTTTTCTCCGGATGGTCAGTAACTGGGTCTGTCAACAGATTCATTGAAGTATGGAACTTTATAGGCTGGAGCACAACAGGTAGGGCGCTTCCCTTGCAGGCGGCCGACCGATTCCTCCATCCCTCTTGGAGAGCCAGGCAGGCTACCAAGAGTATCCCGCCCGCAAGGCAGAGCCTGGCAAGCTCCCCGTGGCATATTCGATATGCCAAAACAGTATCAACAAGTCTCACAATGGAGACGTTATTGGTTCCTGCTGGAGCAAATCGATGAACAACGGGAAGACAGTGCTACAGTGCTTTTTTTTTGGGGGGGGGGGGGGTCACACCTGGAGATGCACAGGGGTTACTCCTGGCTCATGCACTCAGGAATTACTCCTGGCGGTGCTCGGGGGACCAGAAGGGATGTTGGGAATCTAACCCGAGTCAGCCACCAGCAAGACAAATGCCTTATCCGCTGTGCTTTCACTCCACCCCTCAGGCTGGCGTACCTCACCATGCTTTTCCAAAACCATGGGGCAGCAGGGAAGAAGCAAAGAAAAGTTTGCCGGCCATTCTAACCAGCAACCTAGCAAAGGTTCCTGTTGGGGACTGGCCTCGGTAGCGCCTGCTTGCTCTCCCTGAAAAGGGAATGAGCAGGGGGAACTGGGCGTGGGCCGGAGCGATAGCACCAGCGGGTAGGGCGTTTGCCTTGCATGCAGCTGACCCCGGTTCGATTCCCAGCATCCCATATGGTCCCCCAAGAGTAATTCCTGAGTGCATGAGCCAGGAGTAACCCCTATGCATCGTCGGGTGTGACCCAAAAATCAAAAAAAAAGAAAACTGGGCGTGTGGGAATGCCATGTCCTGGCGGCTGACCCTGTTAAGGGGGCGAAGGGAAGGCTCCATCTGATCTGCCCTGGTCAGGCCAGGAGCCACATTCTCATTCCTGAGAGTTCAAGGAACTGCCCGCATACACAGCTGCAAGACAGAATAACAGATAACGTAGCTTGCTCAACTTGTAACCCCAGGCTTTCCCGCATGAGTGTCCACTACATACTATAAAAGAAAATGAGCTTTGGCATAAAGTCGCTGTATGTCGCATACAGTCCTCCCTACCCCGTCTGCAGTGCTCATACCCTCTCTCCGGCCGGAGTTCAAGTTGGCCGCGCGGGACGCAGCCACCTTCTCCCTTTCCTACCACCCCACACTTCAGCTCTGGTTCTAACCTTATTGTAAAGCTTGATATTGGTGCCAGGAGTGGTGGAGCCAAAATGATACACCAGAGGGGCTTGGATAGAGAATCCTTCTTCAACATCCGCAGGCCTCTCAATGTAGAGGGCGCCCATGGTCCCGGGGATGGACACCGAGCCCTGGCCGACATCCAGCTCCACGTAAGTGGGTCGGCGACCCAAGCGAACTGCGTAATTGAGCAGCAGACGACATACTGTGGACTTGCCCACGTCCGTGGGACCCACCACCATCACCCGGGGGCCTCGCTCTTCTTCCTTCTCCGCCTGCCTTCGCATCTGCTCCAGGGCTGTGTGAGTGTTGAGATAAAGCAACATGGGGGTATCCTTGGACACGTAAGCCACCTCGGTGCGGCCACTGAGCTGGACAGAACAGCCATGCCACGTGAAGACAGCCACTTTGGCACCAGCATCAAAAGTGAACTTCTTGTTGCGGGTCAGTTCCGTGCCAAAGATTTCTGCCATGCCAGCCAGCAGCTCCAGCTGAACCGACTGCGATGCCTCCACCTCAAAGCGAAGTTCTGTTTCTCGCTCCAGCTCAAATTTGGTTGTTGGTTTCTTGTCGTCATTGGCCTCCTCGCCCATCTTTCCTGTGCGGCTGCTGTGACGCGAACACAAATTAATCAGATCGAGACGTGAGTTAGGACTGCATTCAAAACCTTTAGTGGATGCCTATTTTACAGCATTATCACCAACGTATAACCATTGCATTCCCCATTACCACCACACCCTATTTTCTTTCTTTTTTTTTCCTTTTTACCCTATTTACCTTCTTTTCAGTAATACCAGTATGATTTGGAGGTGGATGGGTTACACCCTGCAGTGCTTAGGACTCACTTCTGGTCCTGAACTCAGGAATCATTTTCTTTTTTTTTTCTTTTTGGATCACATCCGGCAATACACAGGGTTTAATTCCTGGCTCTGCACTCAGGAATTATCCCTGGAGGTGCTCAGGGGACCATATGGGATGCTGAGAATAGAACCCGGGTCGGCTGCGTGCAAGGCAAACGCCCTACCTGCTGTGCTATCGCTCCAGCCCCAGGAATCATTTTTTTCTTTTTTTTTTTTTAGTTTTTGGGTCACAACCGGCAATGCTCAGGGGTTACTCCTGGCTCTGCACTCAGGAATCACTTCTGGCAGTGCTCGGGGGACTATTTAGGATGTTGGGAATCGAACCCAGGTCGACTGCGTGCAAGGCAAAAGCCATATTGCTGTACTATCACTCCAGCCCCTCAGGAATCATTTCTGGTGGGGCTGGGAACCTTTATGTGGTGCCAGGAATCCAACCTGTCAGCTGTTTGCAGGGCAAGTGTCTCAACCCTGGCACTATCGCTCCAGCCCTGCCAGCACAATTTTTTTTTTTTTAAAGCTTAAAATAGAGGGCCAGAGAGATAATATAGAGGTAGATATTTGCCTTGTACACAGCCAACTAAGGTTTGATCCCTGGCACCTCATATGGCTCCCCAAGCCCTCCCGAGTGATCCGAGTGCAGAGCCCTAAACACAGCCAAATGTGGTCCAAATAAGGAGGACCACAAAAGAGAAAGAAGGGAGGGACGAAGGCAGGCAGGTAGGCAAGCTTTATTTATTTATTTATTTTGCTTTTTGGGCCACACCCAGCGATGCTCAGGAGTACCTCCTGGCTCTGCACTCAGGAATTACTCCTGGCGGTGCTTGGGGGACCATATGGGATGCTGGGGATCGAACCCAGGTTGGCCACGTGCAAGGCAAATGCCCTACCCACTGTACTATCGCTCCGGCACCCAGCAGGCAAGCTTTAAATATTGGCTGAACCTCATTTTTTGTTTTGTTTGGGGTCACAGCCAGCAACGCTCAGGACTTACTTATGTCTCTCCACTCAGGGGTAGGGTTCTGGGGACCACATAGGGTATCAGGATTGTACCCAGGTCAGCCACTTGCAATGCAAACGATCTCCCTGCTGCACTATTGCTCTGACCCCTATGTCTCCATTTTTGGCAAAATAATCACTGTATCGCTGTCATCCCGTTGTTCATCAATTGTCTCGAATAGGTGCCAGTAAAGTCTCCATTCGTCCCAGCCCTGAGATTTTAGCAGCCTCTCCTTACTCGTCTTTCCCAACACTGCCATATTAGAGGCTCTTTCAGTGTCAGGGGAATGAGACTAGTTATTGTTACTGTTTTTGGCATATTGAATACAGCACGGATAGCTTGCCAGGTTCTGCCATGCAGGTGGGATACTCTGTCTGAACCCCATCAAATATGGTGTGGTAATTATGGAAAATGGGTAGGGAGTGTCTTATGATGTGTCTAGGATATGTTAACTCATGCGTGACGCTTGGCCCGAGAGTGTGGAAAGAGGCCTAGAGAGTGGCAGCGACTGGGTAACGGAGGTTGGCTGCTGAGGCTGGGTTCCTTGAGGCGGGAAGGGCTCTCAGCTGCTCCCCTCTGGGGTGCCCGGAGTGAAAACAGTCTGGCACAGAGTCCGGTGGGATGGTTATAGGGGCCTCATTTTATGCTCCCTTCTGGGAGAAGCAGCCATGAGTTCTGGAAGGTGGCCGATGAGGAGATATCTGGTGCCAGCAGGAGTCATATTACCAATATAAACATAAAAATTAATTAAAAAGTAACCTGAGGGGCTAGAGTGATAGCACAGCGAGTTGGGCATTTGCCTTGCACACAGACCCGGGTTCGATTCCCAGCATCCCATATGGTCCCCCAAGTACTGCCAGGAGTGATTCCTGAGTTCAGAGCCAGGAGTAACCCCTGAGCATTGTTGGGTGTGACCCAAAAAGGAAAAAAAAAAAGTAACCTGAAATCCACATAAGAAAATTATCAAATTTTAGGGGCCAGAGAGATCATAGCATGTAAGGCACTTGACTTGCTGACCCAGGGTTTGGCTCCTGCCATCCCATATGGTCCCGCAATCCCACCAGCAGTGATCCCTGAGCATAGTGCCAGGAGTAAGCCCTAAGCACTGCCAGGTATGACCCAAAAAACAAATGAATAAATAAATTAAAGAGCAATTTTACGGGGACCGGAGCAATAGCACATGGGTAGGGCGTTTGCCTTACACACGGCCGACCTGGATTTGATCCCCAGCATCCGATATGGTCCCCCAAGCACCGCCAGGAGTAATTCCTGAGTGCAGAGCCAGAAGTAATCCCTGAGCATCACTGGGTGTGACCCAAAGAGCCAAAAAAAAAAGGGGGGGGGGCCAATTTTACAAATAGAATTGTTTCCCAGCAGTACTTGGGAAAAAAGAAAAATAGGACCACTTCCAGCAATGTTCAGGCTAGCAATGCAAACCTAGCAGTATTCAGGGGTCCAAACAGTGAAGGATATTAAACTTAAGTCTTCTGTGCCCTTACTCACTTGAGCTAACATCGTTCTTCTTAAATCTAAGTTTTTTAATGGAGCTCAGTAGACCACAGGGTTTTTTATATACAAAGCTAAGCGCGGAGTTGGGTTCCACCTAACATAACCCCCCACTCCAAATAGAGAAGTGGGAGGTGGGAGAAAAAATATTTAAGGGACCAGAGGGATAGTACAGCAGGTAAGGTGCTTACCTTGCATGTGGCCAATCCAGGTTTAATTCCTGGCATCCCAGATGGTCCCCTGAGCACTGCCTTAGAAGTAAAACCTAAGCATTTAGACCTAAGCCCTAGCAGGTATGGATCAAAAACAAGAAGAAAAAAAAAAAAAGTCCAAACCAAATGTTAAGTCCAAACCAAAATTACAAGTGAAAATTTACCCCTAAATGGGAATTTGGGGGGGGAGCTGGAGCAATACCACAGCAGGTAGGGCATTTGCCTTGCACGCGCTGACCCGGGTTCGATTCCCAGCATCCCATATGGTCCCCCGAGCACCACCAGGAGTGATTCCTGAGTGCAGAGCCAGGAGTAACCCCTGAGCATCGCCGGGTGTGATCCAAAAAGAAAAAAAAAATAGGAATTTTTTGCTGAGTTAAAAGCATCAGAATAAATACATTGACAAGAGCAGGAAGGGCATTTGCCTTGCATGTTGCTGACCCAGGTTCGATCTCTGGCATCCAATATTGGTTCCCCATGCCCTGCCAGGAGTAACTCCTGAGTGCAGAGCTGAGAGTAAGCCCTTAGTACTGGGTGTGCCTCCCCCCCCCACAACCCCAAATACACTGACATAACTAAAAACCAAAGTTTTTACTTTTCTATAAAAACATAAAATTAAGAGAAAATAGGAAAAAATTACAAACGAAAAATACAAGAAAAAATTTATTGTTCATGGGGCAAGAGAGATAGTACAGCAAGAAGAGCACTTGCCTTACATGCAGCCCACCTGGATTTGACTCCTGGCACCCCACATGGTCCCGCCCAAGTCCCACCAGGAGTGATCCCTAAGCGTAGAGACAGGAGTGAGGACCGCTGGACAAGGCCCAAACACTCTCGCCCTTAGCAAAAGAAGAATTATTGTTCTTACTAAATAAAAACTTAAAAATATCTAAGGACAGAAAACAAAATGACTCTAAAATAATAATCAGAGGCTGGAGCAATAGCACAGCGGGTAGGGCATTTGCCTTGCACACGGCTCACCCGGGCTCGATTCCCAGCATCCCATATGGTCCCCCGAGCACCGCCAGGAGTGATTCCTCAGTAACCCCTGAGCATCACTGGGTGTGACCCAAAAAGCAAAAATAAATAAATAAATAAATATTTATTGATTTATTATTATAAATAATAAAAATAATCACAATAATCAATATCACTATCACCCCATTGTTCATTGATTTGCTCGAGCAGGCGCCAGTAACATCTCCATTCATCCCAGTCAAGTGCTTATAATATTATATTATTATTAAATAATATATCATTGTGAATATATAATTATGATATATTATTATATTACTATTATGTAAATAATGCATAATGTAATTTTCAAATTTCTTGAAGAGTATTATTATGAATAAACAGAATGAAGCGTAAGGCAAAATAATAATAAAGCAAAAAAAAAGTGCAACTATTATGCAGTGAAATGCGACGTTTCCCCTTACCTTGTCTTATTTTTCTAAATAAAGTCTCACTACATTTATTCCCACTAGAATGTTAAGGATTGAGCACTTTTCTTTAGTACTGTTAAATTTGGCATCTAAGAATAGGGCCAGGCAACCTATAAACATCTCAATAAATACATCCAGGTGCTATCTATCTACAGGTTGACAAAAAGCTATCACTTTCAGGGGGCTGGAGCAATAGCACAGCGGGTAGGGCGGTTGCCTTGCACGCAGCCGAACTAGGTTCGATTCCCAGTATCCCATATGGTCCCCCAAGCACCGCCCGGAACAATTCCGGAGTGCATGAACCATGAGTAACTCCTGTGCATCGCCGAATGTGACCCCAAAAAGCAAAAAAAAAAAAAAAAAAAAAAGCTATGGCTTCCTTCACTAGCTGGGATACAAGTGAGGGCATCTGCAATACACAATTAAGCGAGTGGGGGCGCGGGGAGGCGGACGGGGGTTGGGGGGTTTACAACAGCTGTGAAGAAACTTGGAAAACAACATTAAGAGCCCGAGTCAGCAATAACAATTATTAGTGTCTGGCGACACGTCTTTTAACGTCTCTGGACCCTTTTTTTTTTCCAGCTGTCACGCAAAGACACTTGAATTTCCTCATATAAAGTGTGTTTCTGGGTCGCTGGGAGCTTGCCTTGCACACGACCGACCCACGTTCGATCCCCGGCATCCCAAATCGTCCCCTGAGCCCGCCTGGAGCAAATACCTAGTGCAGAGTCAGAGTAATTACGCCCTGAGCATCTCCGAGAGTGGCACAAAAAAAACACAAAAGGAAAAGGGGGTGGGGTGGGGGACTGTTTTGGAGGATCAACAGGAATCAGTGGTAGGGAAAAAAAAAATTCGTCTTCGTCAATTTATAAAGTGCCGAGAATTTTTTTCCCAAAATATTTCCAACATTATTTACGGAAGTGAAGAATTATTTCCAAAGCCGAACGGCAGCTCGATGGACAGCGTTTATCCAAGTCTCCTCAAGCACCGAAATCCGCCGAGGCCCCAAGGAGGTGACGGGTTGAAATTCGGGAGTTTTATGAACTCACCTGGCACAATCTCGAAGACTTTCCTGGTAAACTGAGGCGGTCCCGGACAGACTTTCAGTGCCAGCCGCGCCAGCCGCGACCCACGCTGGAAACGAAGACGGTTCTGCGCTTGCTCAGTGCCGGGAGCCGCGGTCTCGCGATGCCCCTTGGGATATGTAGTTGGGTTCCAAAGGCTCGCGCGAGCGCAGCCGCGCGGCCTTCTGGGAGTTGTAGTTAAGGATTGTTTTGATCGTGACGTCAAAGGTGGGCGGGGCGGAGACCATCATTGTGGCGAAGCCGGAAGGGTGGAGGGAGGAGAGAAAGCGTGGCCACGCCCCCACGTGGGGCGGAGACAGGTGCAGAGTCCAAGGATCCGCGACGTGTTGGCGGGGTGGGGGGGGCGGTTGGCGTACTCCTGAGCCAGTGTTCCGGCTCACCTGCAGCCTGGGAAGGGGAAAAATGACGGGAAGATGCCACTGTCTGGGTCCCTCGAGAGGCTGCTGGACCACCAGGGAAGAAATGAAGACATTAAGTCCCGAGGGGTCTGGCGCGGGTTGGGGTGGGAGAGGAGGAAGTGGGGGGGGAAAACAACCTGTTAGGACCTAATCTGGATTTGTTAAACCCTGTTTGACATGGATGGTGCTTGGGATTTGGCATGTTTAAAAGTTTTTGCAGTTTTGAGTTCTTTGCTGTGCCGTTTGCTCGCTCATAAATCCAGACCCAGTTTCTGATGTGCAGAATAGGGATAATAACAGTACCCAGGGAGGGATACTGGAAACATTGGTGATGGAGAATGAGCACCGGTGCAGGGATGGGTACTGGAACATTGTATGACGGAGAAGTAATCATGCAAGTTTGTAAGTCTGTAATTGTATCTCACGGCGACTCATTAAAATAAAAAGAAAAAAATAACAGTACCCAGCCTCTGAAGTTGTTTTAAAGATGGAAGGCGAAGATACATGTAAAGTGCTAACTTAAGCACAATTCCTGTAACCAAGTATGTGATGTTCACTTAAGTTTTCAGTATAGAGTGAGAAGAGGGTGCTATAACAATGATAGCCGACTCAAGCACTTTCAGGTTCCTCCTTAAAGAGCCTTAATCAGATGAGGCTGAATAAGAGAGGTGGAGGAACTTGCCCAAGCTTGGGTTCATACTCAGGATTTTGACCTCAGGTACAAATATTTTGTGTGTGTGTGTGTGTGCCGTGGGGGGGGGGGAGGGGCCATGTGCACACTGGCGATGCTCACAAATACTCCTGGCTCTACACTCTGGTATCATTCCTGGAGATGCTTAGGGGACCATATGGGATGCCGGGGATCAAACCCTGTTCAACCATGTGCAAGTCAAGTCCCCTACTGACTATACTATCCAGTCTCTCTTTTTTTAAATTTATTTATTTATTTTCTTTTTGGGTCACACCTGGCAATGCTCAGGGGTTACTCCTGGCTCTGCACTCAGGAATTACTCCTGGTGGCGCTCAGGGGACCATATGCGATGCTGGGAATCGAACCCGGGTCAGCCGCGTGCAAGGCAAACGCCCTACCCACCGTGCTATCGCTCCAGCCCCTATACTTTCCAGTCTCTTGTGTCCAACTTTTTTTATGATAGGTAAGGTAATAAAAGCAAAAAACTATATAATATTGGATGCCAGGCATTATTTCCAGAACGCTATCAAATATGGATGCATTTAATCCTCATCTGAGAAGTACTTTCTATAATCCATCATCTCTACTTTATAGCTGAGTACTTTTTTTTTTCCCTGTCCAGATCACATGGTTAATCTGGTCTGAGACGCCTGGGAAGCTTTCCCGGGTTGTCTTTCCACTGGCCCCACCTTAACACTCACTTTATAAGCAGTGCCATCTACCCTTGTTTTCTTTGATGATTTGCTTTGATTACTTCATTCATTCACCAGGCCTGCATTACTTCTCCAATTAGCTACTCTGTGTCTCCCTAACCTTTTGCCAGATTTTCAGCCCCCCATCTTCCTTTGCAAATTTCCCCCCTTGAGTGAGCTCATCCTCTGGTTTCCAAGGCCTCTCTTCCAGATCTGTTTCTTCACCTCCACACCCTCTCCCTGGAGGCAATTTCTCCCAATTACTGAAGGTCAACTTTATTTGGATACTGTGCAGCCTTCTCAAGCTGAATTTTTAGGGAACTGAGACACCACACCCGCACTTCAGACCTCTCTCTGATTATGCTGCTACTTGCTGCTGCTTTTGGCTTTGGAGTTTTGGGCTACACCTGTGTTCAGAACTCCGGAGAGGAGGAGGGGAGGGGTCATTTGTGGGGCTCCGGATTTTTCCCTCAATCCCCCGCCCCCTCCCCACCCCCAGCTGCATGCAAGTCTTACCCTACCTACAATCCCTCTAGCCTTCAATTTGGTGACCACCCCCGGTGGTGCTCACTGCTGACTGCTGGGTCGGTGCTCAGGAATCACTCCTGTATTGCATACATAGGGATGCCAGGGACTGAACCTTGGTCTGCTGTGTGCAAGGTAAATTGCCCTACCCACTCTCTCTGACCCCTCCATTTTCGCCTCATTTTGTTTTGTTGGGCCACACCCAGCTGTGCTCAGGGTTTACTGCTGGCTCAGTTCTCAAGGATCACGCCCCAGGGTGCTCAGAAAGTATAAGTTGTGCTAGGGATCAAACTGGGGGTTGGCCACATGCTAGGTGAGAGCCCTAAAGTGTGTACTATCTTTCTGGTTCCTTTTCCACATTAAACCTTCCACCAAGCACTGGTGGTCTTTATTTGTCCATATACAGTACTCCGCCCCTCTCGGAGAGCCCGGCAAGCTACCGAGAGTATTCGATATGCCAGACACAGTAACAACAAAGTCTCCAATGGAGACGTTACTGGGCCCGCTCGAGCAAATCGACGATCAACGGGAGGGCCTTTACCTTTTACCTTTACAGTTCGAATGATAACTTTCTATCTTCCCTACCTACCAACCTAACCTTTAAAGGGGCAAAGGTGGAATGCCCTGCCACAGAGCTGGGGCGGGATGGGGGGATGGAGTGGGGGGTGGGAGGGCTGCTGAGTTCATTGGTGATGGAGAATGGGCACTGGTGGAGGGATGGGTACTCGATCATTGTATAACTGAAACCCAAGCACGAAAGTTTGTAAGTCTACAACTGTACCTCATGGTGTTTCATTAATTTAAAAAAATTTTTTAGATAAATAAATAGGGGCCAGAGCAAAAGAACAATGGGTAGGGCGTTTGTTTTGCATGTGGCCGACCCGGGTTTGATTCCCAGCATCCCATATGGTCCCCTGAGCACCACCAGGGGTAATTCCTGAGTGCAGAGCCAGGAGTAACCCCTGTGCATCCCTAGGTGTGACCCAAAAAGCAAAAAAATAATAATAATAATCCACTGTCCACTGTCCTCCTGTTGTTCATCAGTTTGCTCGAGCGTGCCCAGTAACGTCTCCACTGGAGACTTTGTTGTTACTGTATTTGGCATATCAAATACATCACGGGGAGCTTGCCAGGCTTTGCCGTGTGGGCAAGATACTCTCAGTAGCTTGCCGGGCTCTCCAAGAAGGGTGGAGGAATCGAACTCGGGTTGGCCATGTTGCCTACATGCAAGGCAAATGCCCTACCGCTGTGCTATCGCTCCAGCCCTAATAATAATAAAATAAATAAACAAATGGGCAAAGATTACCTCTGGAAAAAAAAAAACAGCCAAACTAAAATCAATCAAGTAAACAAACACTCTAAGGCTCCTTTTTTTTTCTTTTTAAAATCCCTATCTTTATCTCACTTCACTTTTTAAATATTAGTCCATTAGAAATAGGGGCTTTTATCCTGGAGGATATTTCCTATGTCCATATAGTTGAGTGGCGTAGATGGGGAAATATTGAGTTCTGTTAAGTATAACTGGAAGCTCCTAGAAAAATTGTACTGAAAGATGTCGTATCCTTATAGTTCACAAATGTGGCTTGTGTCTCTTGACATAGACGAATTTGAAATCCTATCTAGATTTTGAGGACATTTAATTAACACTATTTGGAGGGGCCAGACATAGTACATTTGGAAAGGTTAGGCACTGACCTTGCAGCCAGCCAACGCCAGGTTCGATGCCCGGCACCCCATAGGGTCCCCCTGAGCCCCGCCAACAGTGATCCCTGAATTCAGAGCCAGAAGTAAGCCCTGAGCACTGTCAAGAGTGGTTCAAAAGAATAAAAAAAAGAAACAAACAAAAAAACCCCACCATCTTGAAATATTAGGAACTGCTATTGGACCAAGTGCTTCTTATGTGCCAAGGGCTTTTTTTGGAATTTATATATTGTCTCAGGTCACATCTCCAGGTGGCAAATACTATCAGCTTCATTTGAATACAGGGACCCAAAGAGGTCCAATAACTTGCCCACTGGTTCCTGGCGACCTGATTAGCAGAGCTGGGATTCCAATGCCTATCATCTTGAAGGCCAAGTGGGGCATGTGGGACCCCTCTGAAGAATTCAGCTCACCCGTTGGTTTGTTTTTTTTTTTTTTTTTAATGCGAGCATCTCCATAGGAAGGCGCTGTGCTCACGAGAGCAGTGGCACTGCAGAGCTAGGATGCAGTTTCCCGGACCTGCTTCAGAAACTTTACAGCCCAGAAGAGTGCCTTATGTAATGGGGGTGTCGGTTCACGAAGCGCCCCACGACGTTTGGAGGTAACTGATAAGATAGGCTGCATGTCAGGTGGGGAGTTGTCATAGCTGGTCTGTGACTCCCGGGCCGGCCGGAGGGTATTAAGCTGAGGCTGTGAGGGTGGAGGTGCCCGGTACCAGCTTGGTGGAGTGGAGCGGGTGGCATTTGGGGGGCACGGTTTCGCATTCGGGACAAGTAGCAGACCTTTCTGAGTCAGGGCTGCTTCGGGAGCAGGAATAGGACATGTCTCACCACCCCGAGTGTGCTGTGCATAGCAGATTCTCTGCCTCCCTCTTTCAGTGTCACCCACCTTGCTGCCTCCTTGCCTCCAGCCCAGTCACCGGTACTCCATCCTGGTCCTTTCCCAAGATTCCTCCCCTCTTCTTGGTCTCGCTGTCTTACTCCTGGTCTTCGCCAGCCAGCCAGCCAGCCAGCCAGCCCTCGGGGGCACCCACTCCCTCCTCCCTCAGCCCCCCTGCCCGACTCCCCCTGCCCCATCCCTCGATGCCCGCCTCCCTCCCTCCATCCCTCCCCACCGCCTCCTGTGTCTCCCAGCCCTGCTCTGACGTGGGAGGTGAGGGGGGTGGGGGGACGGATGAGTCACAGTGTTATGATGCAGTTCCACAACACACAGCTACATTCACCCACAGACCGAGGTACAGAGGAGAGACAACCTCTGGCCCCCCGCAGCTGGCCAGCTTTGCAATCCCCCCCCACCCCTTCGTCCGGAGCCCCTAACTACCCTTCCCCGCCCCACCTCCCCTTCCCAATTGAAGGAGCGGAGAGAAGAGAGAAGAGTGATCAGAGAGATTGAGAAATAGAGAGAGAGAGAGAGAGAGCTAGACGGATCTCTGGAGCCGACCTCAAGGTGAGGGGGCAGCCCTTCTCCAAATGAATTTTATATTTCTCCCCCCTTTGGCAATTTCTTCCTCCCGCTGCGTGTGCTTTCTCCCCTTGGCAAAAGCATTATTCATGCACCCTTTGTCCTCCCTTCCCCCTCCCCGCTGCCTCCGCCGCTGCTCCTCTCGGCTCCTCCATCCCTCGCCAGGCTCCGCCGGTCCCGCACTCCGATCCTCATCCCCGGCGACTCTGGCGTCAGGCATCGCTGTTTATTGTTTGGCGGCTGGTGCAGACCCCCCCCCCCCCCGCCCCCCATCCACCCACCCCTAGAACCCGCCCTGGGAGCTGCCTGCGCTGCTCTTTCCTTGGACCATACCATACTGCGACCGCCAGCCCGGGGGAGGGGGCCCCCTCGAGCTTCCAGCAGATGAGAAAATCCGTTGTGAGCAGGTGTCCCCCCCACCCCTTCTGCCCCCCACCCCCACCCCAAGAGGCACGGGACTTGCACCTGGTTCCTTGAGCCTCCGCCTCTGGCTGTCAGCGCTGGTTGCTGAGCATCACCCCTTCTTCCCCCTGAGGGCCCCCCCCCTCAACGTCCAGCTCTGGCAAGCTCTTTTGGAGACTATCCTCCCCCCCCCACTCCACCCCCCGCCCGTGCTCAACTGGCCTTTGTCCTCCCGCGACCTCCCCCCATCCACCCCCCACCCCTGTCATTCGGTCCACTTGCTTCGCCCTGTGATGGGAAATGACCTCTTCTGCTCCCAAGGGGGGTTGCTCGGCCTATCGGCACCGCCTCTTCAAGGACTGCATGGGGAGGCAGCGGAGGGGAGCCCCCCCAACCCCGGGAGGCAGAGGACCGCCCCAGGAAGGTGTGCAAGGGGGACCGCGACCAAGGGGAACTCGCAGGCAAAGTTGGAGGGCGACTTGCAGAGCGGACGCTGGCTAGAACCCAACGTCACACTGCACTCAGCCCAAGGCTTCTTCCCGCCCCCCACCCCCACGCACGGCGGGGGGTGGGGTGGGGGAGACTGACCCCCCCAAAAAAAAACATTGGCAGACTCTGGGGAATTCGCTCGTGGCCACCGCAGAGGACAGAGACTCACTTGGCCCACTCGCTGGGCTTTTTTAATGACCTGGAGCAGCCGGCGCATCCACCTGCATCTCAGAACCAGACTTGGTTAACCGCCCCCACCTCCCCCGCCCCTCCAAGGAGCCAGGAGGTCCTGCCCCCCATCCCCTCCTGCTTATCAGTGACACCAGTGACACCAGAGGGCTCCTCCTGTCCTATCCCCTGCCCCAGCCTATCAGCCACTTCCCCGGGCTGGAGTTTGGCCCGATGATACCCACATCTCCCTCAGTTTTCCTCATCAGAACCCAGCAACAATTTTTTTTCATCTCTTAAGTCAACCCAGACGGGTCTGCTTGGACCCGGCCGCTGGGAGATGGGAAAGAACCTTCCCTGCCTGGTACCTCCAAGTACAGCTTTAAAGACTCGCACCCCGGCAGACCCCTCCTCCCCAACACACACACACACACACACACACACACACACACACACACACACACACACACACCTGCCCTTCTGCTGCTCCCACACTCCAGCGCACAGCCCGGCCGGGGCCCAGGAGTACCAGCCGCCTCCCTCACGTGGCCCCGATTTCCCAGGGGACCCCTCCCTCCTCCTCTCGCTGCTGTCAGATGCGCCCGGAGGAAAAGCGCGTTTTCTCTCCCAAGGTTGGCCACCCTCCTCCGCCGGCGAGGCCTTAACTTAGCGACTGGCAACAGTTAGCCGCGAGCAGCAGAGGGAGACACTGGCCACTGGCCGGCCAGCGAGATAGATGCTGCCCCTCCGGGGGCTGGCAAGGTGCAGGGCTAGGCGGGCGACACGCCCCGGCCGTGTCGGGGTGACCCGGGTTGGCGGCCCGGCGGGGTTGCTGTGCACGGGGATGCGCGCCCCTGCATCCGAGGACCCCCCCGCGCACGGCCCGGAGGCACGAAGAAAAAACCCAACCCGACTCCGCCAGGTGCCCCCAAGTTTGCGCCGACCCCAGAGACTCAGAGCCCGCCCCCGCGCGTGTTGGGGGGGTGGCTGCCGATCCCCCTCTCCTCCGATCCCTCCCACTGGAGCGCTGGGCACCCGGGCCCGGGCCCTGGCGGGGGACGCGGCTCCCATGGCAGCGCCGGGGCCGGCGCGCAGCTCTCAGTGGAAAATGGTGGAGGCTGCTCGCGCCCCAGGAGGGCACCGGGCGGTGGCATCGGGGGGCCGGGTATGGGCCATTGGGCTGGCTGGCGGGAGTGGACGGGATCGCGGGGGTCGGGGGGAGGCTCGTGGGGGTGGGATGGGGGCAGCATCATACCCCCCCAACACACACACACCCTCACCCCGGGGCTTCCTCTCTGCCAGGTGACACCCATTTCTATCTGCTTCACGTCTGGGGGGGCCCTGGCCGGGCAGCCCCCCCGCACTCCTCCTGCCCTGAAACACGGCTCTAGCCAACCTGCTCCGCTGCTTCACCTGCGACCGTCTGTGCGGGGGCTGCACGGCGCCGGCCCCTCCCGCCCGCCAGGGCATCGTGCTGCAGCCCGTCATGCCCAGCTGCGACCCGGGCCCGGCCCCCGCCTGCCTCCCCGCCAAGACTTTCCGCAGCTACCTGCCCCGCTGCCACCGCACCTACAGCTGCGTGCACTGCCGCGCGCACCTGGCCAAGCACGATGAGCTTATCTCCAAGGTAGGCCGGTGTGTGTGGGGGGGTGAGTGGGTGGGAGCCCCCCCCAGGGGGAGCGGGATGGCTGTGACCTCTGTCCTGTCTCCTGCAGTCCTTCCAGGGCAGCCACGGGCGAGCTTACCTGTTTAATTCCGTGTGAGTCTACCTCCCTCCCCGGTGCGCGCGCCATCCGGGCCCCCTCGCTGGGGGATGGGGGTTGGGGTTGGGCGGAGGGTCAGGGGGTCCCCCGGGGGCCATGCAAGCTTTGCCACTTCTGGGAGTGCCTCTCCACTCTGGGGGTTCTCTGGCGTAAGGGGGTCAGAGGGGGAGTCTGAACCCAACCCTGCCTCCCTCCCCTCTGGCTTTGGAAGAAGGCCCAGGCGCTGGTCTTAAGCTGCCGGAGGCCACTTGGATAGGTGGGTGAAAGTCTCCACGTGGAAGCTCCCCAGGGTCTCCAGGGGCCCCTGGACTAATAGAGCAACCCCACTGGGGACCCGGTCCTTCCTGTTTCTTTGGACAGGGTCAATGTGGGCTGCGGGCCTGCCGAACAGCGTCTCCTGCTCACCGGCCTGCACTCGGTCGCTGACATATTCTGCGAGAGCTGCAAGACCACCCTGGGTTGGAAGTATGTAAGTACCTGGGGGGGCTGCCTTCCCCCCACCAGCCACCCCTTCGTGCTCCCCAGGGCTCCATAGGGCCTAGTCACTGACCCGGGTGGGGCAGGGGCCCTGTCGGTTTGATCCTTTGAGGCCTCTCCTCCACCAGGAACAAGCTTTTGAGACGAGCCAGAAGTACAAGGAAGGGAAGTACATCATTGAGATGTCACATATGGTGAAGGACAACGGCTGGGACTGAGGGGCGCCCGTGGGCTGCGCCCTCCCTCCGCATGGCCCCCCCGCCCCCCTCCTGCCCCCTGGCCCTGTCAAGCAGTCCATACCAGCATGAGTCCAGCCCCAGCCCTGGGGGGAAGCCGGCTCCAGCCCAACCCTCCCCCGCCTCCACCTCATCATTCCCGGGCCCCTCTGCAGCAGGGGTCTGGGGTACCCCCGGGGTGTTCAAGGCTCAGGAGTGGGCAGTAGTCAGGGAGACAGCACTAGGGGGAAGGGAGGGAAGGGGGTGGGCCTGGCCGCCCCCTAGGTCCCGCATTTAGAGCCGCCAGCAGGGCGGAGACTCAGGCAGCCACGGCGGGAGGCGGCCGGCCGCCCCGTTCTGCGCGGGCAGACCCCGAGGAGTCGATCTCAGGCCACAGACGAGCAGATGCCACAAGGCCTGGGTGAGTGAAGTTTTGGCCTCAGACACCGGGAGAGCCCAGGGTCTCTGAGGGTGAAGTTTCCCACCCACCCAAGTTCATAGAGGGAAAGGACTGGGGTGAGGGGTGGAGGGAACCCCCCCCCAGCCTCCCCAAATCCCAGGCTCTGGGAAAGAAATGCAGGGGTTTCCATTTCACTCCACTTGTTTAGTTTATCTTGGCACTGAAGAGGCACTTTCGAGTATCTAACCTTTGCCATGGGGTGGGTGGGGCAAGCGGCCCTGGACAGGCCCCCACCGCCTACTGGCTGTTTACCAGAATGTTCTCTGAGGCCCAGCTATGGCTCCCTCAGAGGGGAGGTGGGGAATCAGAGCTGCGGGGCCAGGCTTCCCCGTGGCTGCCACCAGCGAATGAAACTTTTGTATGATACATAAAGTGTTTGGGTCTATTTTTAATAAAAAGGGCAAAAAGCCACCGCGAGGGACTCTTGTCCTCTGACTTTCCTTCCTGGCGCCTGGACCATCCCAGGGACAGAGACTGACAGACACACACCCCTCTCGGGGGACCTGTGTCTTCCAGCCACTAGGGGGCAGCAATTGCTTTAATCTGGGCTGAGACCACAGGCGCTTTCAGCCCGGAATGCGTTTCCAGGTGAGGCTAGGAAACCCGGCATGGCTTCATTCCCTTCTTTGTTGTGAGCCTTGGAACCAGAATCCTGGACTTGATACATGGAAGGCCACAGTCCTCTTCTCCTGAGCCGCATTACCGGGCCCTAGGGCTGATGGCTTTCTGAGCAATCTTCCCTCCAGCAGGAGGACCCACAACAGTTTCCTTCTGGAGTCCTGGGTCCCCCTTGGCTTGGATCCAGAATTGGAACTTGGGAGAGGCTCATCCCAGAACAAGGGTTAAGTTGGTCCCACTGCGTTTCAGCCAGGTTTGATCAGCTCAGAGCCACGTTCAATGCTTTAAAATCTTCAGGTGCCAGTGGTAAGGGCGTTTGCCTTGTACGCTGCCGACCCATGTTTGATTCCCAGCATCTCTTATGGTTCCCCGGGGCATGGACAGGAGTAACCTGAGTATCGCCGGGTGTGACACCCCCCACCCCCCGCAAAACAAAAACCCTTTAGAGATAGTCCAGCAGGTAAGGCACTTGCTTTGCAAGCAGCCCACCTGGTTTTGATCCTGGGCATCCTCATATGGTCCCTCAAGCCCTGCAAGGAATGATCCCTGAATAAAGCCAGGAATAAGCCCTGAGCACTGCTGGGTATGGGTTCCTTTGCCAATTAATCAGCTAGCCAGGACAGTGTCCTTTAAGTTGATAGAGGTGGGACAAAACAGCATCTAATGGCAGTATCATGTGGCCCGTATATCTTTGAGGGGCAAGATATGAAGTTTCCGAGGCTGTTAGGTCACCAACAAATGCAGGTAGACAACATAAAAATCATTTGTTGGGGCCCGAGCAAGAGTCTATCAGGTAGGGTGTTTACCTTGCATGCAGCCAACCCAGGTTCAATCCCTGGCATCCCATATGGTCCCCCGAGCACTGCCAGGAATAACTCCTGAGTGCAGAGCCAGGAGTAACCTGAGCATTGCTGGGCTGACCCAAAAAGAAAAAAAAAAACCCAAACAACAAACCAAAAGAAAAAAAACATAAAAATCACTTGTTTGGGGGACTGGAGCGATTATACAATGGGCAAGGCGTTTGCCCTTCTACACTGCTGACTCAGGCTTGATCTCTGGCACCCCGTAGGGACCTCGGAGTCCCGCTAGGAGTGATCCCTGAGTGCAGAATTCTGGCTGTACCCCTCAAAACAAAACCAAATCACTTGTTCAATCACTTGCCCAGTAAGGTAGCTTCGTACTTTCCAGATTCACCAATCAGTAACGAATGTCTTGAGAGCGTCTGTTCTTGGCTTGGCTTTAAGCAATGAGGCTGCATTGGAGAACAAGGCAGCTGAGGTCTGATTTCAGGGAGCTTTTATCTAGTCTAATGGAAGAACAATGAGTAATCAGGCAATGTCAGTGGAGAGAGAGGCTAGAGGGAACTGGGGGGGGATGGGGTGTCTAAGGAGGAGGTTGAGGCTGGAACTGGGGAGCCAAGGGTTTCTGTGGAAGTGAAGACTATGGCAGCACACCAAGATGGGACATTGGGGCTACAAAGGGCAGAAGCACAGGTAAGGGAACTATTCCAAGCTAACTGTGTTAAGTGCCTTCGGCTCAGTGAAACCTGAGGTTTCCTTGAATGCAGGTGCATGTGTGTGAGCCGGGGGCAGCAAGGACCGGGGGCTCACAACGAGGGAAGCTTCCTCAGGGCCTTGGGGAAACAGTGGAAAATTTATGTGGATGTGTTCAAGAGCAGCATGTCCTCACCAAATGACTGTTTTGTGCCCAGAGAGGCTCTCAAATGGAAATGTTCTTACAGGATGGCCTCAAATGCTGTCAATTTAAAAGGCTGAGTGGCAAGAGCAAACTGGAAAACACAGAGGTGTGAGGTCAGGAAAGAATGATGGTGGGGTAGGAAGAATGGTTCAGCGGGTAAGGTGCTTGACTTGTACGTAGCCGACCTGGGCTTGATCCCTGGCATCCCGTATGGTCCCCTGAGCACCCCTGAGCATTGTTGGGTGTGACCCAAAAAGTGAAAAAGAAAAAAAATCGAAATATGCTGGAACTGGAGAGATAGCTTAGTGGGTAGGGCACTTGCCTTGCACAAGGGCAAACCGGGTTCAATCACTGGAACCCCATATGGTCCCCAGAGCCCCAACCAGGACTGATCCCTAAGCACAGAGCCAGAAGTAAGCCCTGAGCATAGCTAGGTGTGGTCCAAAAGCAAAAACATATAAATATGTCCAGAACCCCTAATTAAGAGAACCCTAATTAAGGGTGGGGTCTGTCTGGTGATGCTGATACACCCACCCCTGCCCTCAGGCTCCAGCCAGGAACCCCGAGCACCTGCCCCTCTCGGTCCTGCTCCCCGCACCCGAGTTCAAGGAGCCTTGCCAGCACCAAGCTCCGACCTTGAACATCAGGCGCGGGCTCGCTGCCTTCTTGAAGCTCCGCACACAGAACCAGCGCTCACGAGGACGAGGCAGGGAGGGAACAAGCAAATGGCACTGTCACTGCTCTCAAGTTCCAGGGACTCTCCCAGGAGGCTCCTTCTGTGGGCTTTGGCTCAGGGTGCCACTGAAATCTCAAAGAGCAAATGCAGACACCCAGATGCAGCATTACCCAGCTACCCTGGGCCCGTGAGCTCCTGCTGGGCAGTGAGTGGGTCAGGGAGAACTGGGGGTGAGGGGGTGTCTCCTGTCTCTGCCCTTGACCCAGGGTGGAGGCGTTCTAGGCCTGGAATGCCAGGGGCAACAGATTCTGGTTCCAGGGGAACCGCCTTTCGAGTTAGCCCGTCTTCCGTCTTCCTTCCCCTGGCACCTTTTTTCTTCTAGCATCTATTTGGGTCCCCAGAGTGCTGCTCCCCGTCTTCTCCACCCACCCTCCCGTCCTAGGTTTCCTTCTTTAGCCAAAGCTGAACCACCGCTCTTATCCTTAAAAAAGCGGAGAGCTGGAGACGTAGCCGCGGACAGCCTGCAGATGGCACCCTAAGCCGCCGCCGGCCACTCAGGAGCCCGGCACGTGGAGAACCTACTCACTCACACCTCTCCACATGGATGCACAAAGGGATAGTGCCAGCCGGCCTGCGGACAGGCTTAGAGGTCAGCTCTGCCCTTCACTGTCCAAGCCTGGCCAGCTCTGCGTAAACCTTGCAGGCCTGGGCCAGAGAGACGATAGGACAGCGAGCAAGCGGCTTGCTTCTTGCAACACAGGTCAATCCCTGATCCCCCCCAGCTGGTTCCCTGAGGCCCACCAGGAGGAAGTCCTGAGCATTTACAGGGTGTGGCCCCAAACTCAAACCAGAACCACCACAAGCAAACCTTGGGGGCTCTACTTTGACTCTGTGAAATGGGTGCAGGATTCTCAAGTTACCTGTGTTCAACACCTAACAGGGAATGCCCGGCCCAATGGCAGGAAGGGTGCTTGCTGTGCATGCGACAGACCCCGGCTCTATCCCCAGCACCCCCATAGGGTCTCCCAGACACCATCAGGAGTGGTATCTGAGCCGAGAGCTCAGGAGGAAGCCCTGAGCACTGCCAAGTGTGGCTCTAAATCCAACCTCCCCCCCACCAACCCCCAAAACTCAGGTCCTGCTACAGCAGCTTCTAGCACGACTGCTGGTTCCAAGGCTTCCCTGATGCCCAGCAGGGCCTCAGGCAGGTACCCGATGGGAGAGGAAGTGCGGACGCCGAGGAGGCAGGCAGCGCTGAGGAGCACTACCCGGCCAATGCCCTTTTAACATTGCACTGCTAGTGACAGGTGCAGACAGTAGCACAATGTGAAAAGAGCTCCGGCCAGCAGTGGAGGGGAGCCGGCCCTGCCTCCCCGCGGTCAGCATCCCCGCCTCCGCCCTCTCTCCTTCCACCCCCTTCCTCCCATTACCTTGAGGGTGGGGAGAGGGGGTGCTGGGTCCAAGGAGGTGGCCGGAGGAATACCTTGAACCTGGTGCTTCAGAGATAAGTGGCTGGCAGGAATCCTGCCAATTGTGGGGAGCTGCGTAAGGGGGAACTCTGATCACGGGAATGGGTCAGCTCTCAGCTGCACTTCAGGACCTGGTGAGGGTCACAATTCTCTCTCTC